CTGTAGGGCACGTGCGCTCGCCAGACAGATAGAGACATAGAGACAGAAAGCGAGAAATCACCCCCCAGGGGGGATGGTCACACCGCAATCCCTTCTCCTTCATTCTCCTCTCGGGATCTTGGGCATGCATGCACATGCGCCCAGCGTGAGTTTGAAGCCACCGGGTCCGGGATGCAAACTGCGGTTGACTACGTGGGAGTCCAGCGACATAGCCATTACGCTAACTGCTGGTTCCCGAAATATATTTTCTTGATACATTAAAAGAATCCCCCAAGGGACCAGCAGTTGGGCGTAATGGTTAGGTCGCTGGACTCACATGTAGTCGACTGCGGTTTGAGTCCTGGACCTGGTGGCTTAAACTCATGCCGGGCACATATGTGTGCATGCCCAAGTTCTCGAGAGAATGGAGGAGAAGGGATTGTGGCATGGCCATCCCCACTGAGGGTGATTTCTCGCTTTCTGTCTCTCTGTCTTTCTGGAGAGCACATGTGCCCTATAGCAAAAACCTCTTAAAAAAAAAAAAAAAGAATCCCCCAAAATGCAAGTTTGCTCACTTAATTTATAGAGAATGGAAACTATTTCAAAAAGATGACTGGGATTGTGTAATAATAAGTATTTTTTTTAATAAAAGAATGCCAATGATATACATAGTTTCTAGGGGTTTTTTTCTAAAATATTCTGTATTTGAATTTCTGAAAAATATGTATTAATTTGAGAGCTAGTTCTGCCTCTGGAACATGTTCCATTCCACCATTCAGTTTCATAGTCTTTAAACACTACTATGTGAAAGCCTTATGTTAGTTGCTGGATTAAAATGCCTTGATAGGATACAAAGTATATATATTCTTTTTATTTAAAGACAGTCATAATCTTTGAATATGTAGTAAACATGTCTACCATAAGAGCATACAGTAGATTAAACTAACCAGGGATGTTGCTATGGGACAGTATTCCATGAGAAATAGTTTAGGTTTCCAAACTGAAACTTTTTCATCTTTTCCTGGGATGTGATGGTAGATAATGTAAAGTAAAAAAATGAGCCTGAGGAAGGAAATATCCCATCTTGTGTAGAAGCTGAGATTTAGAAAGGAGCCAAAGAGGACTGGTCCCGTGCTCTAGGAGTTAAGAGAGCTGGATCCCCACGGCCAGCTGCACAGTTTGAGTCCCAGACCTGGTGGCCTGAACAACATTCCAGGCGTGGGTGTGTACATGCCCAAAATCTCAAAAGGAGGGAGAGATGGAGGAGAAGGGATTGTGGTGTGACCATTCCCCAGAGGGGATGCTTTCTCCCTCTCCCTCTCTCTCTGTCTCTCTGGTGAGTGTACATGCCCCCTGGTAAAATTTTTCAAAAATTAAAAAAAAGGGGGGAAGAGGAGAATAAATAATAAATTAATAGTTACTTTTAGAGAGTAATTTTTCCTATTTCATGCTTATCTATGTATATCATCAGCTGTAATTATAAACAAATGAAGAAAACACAATTTTTTTTGCTTTATTTAAGTCTTTCTAAATCAGTATATAATTGTATCTCTCTGAATTGTGGCTTATTTTTTAGATTCTGGGAAAACCGATCTGCCTAATCTGCTAAAAGAAGTAAATAAATTAACAGGTGAGCAAGATGTTTTATGACAAGATGTAAAACCAAAATGTGGATAATTCATGTTTATATACATATTTCAAATTGTTTACATACATATTTCAAATACATTGATTTACTACCTTCTACCTTTTCTTGACTCTAGTGACATGAAGATTACTTTGATTTATTTATATTTTAGTAGAAACATTCTGGTGCTATATCTCTGGAACAAAGTTTTATATACTCTGAAACCTAATTTCTGTTTTGTGATTCACTTCACCTTGATTAAACAGGCAGCACATCTGTTTATTCATCCCAGGTGTTTAGCAGTTGCTGTAACTCAGTAAACTAACTGTACTTTAAACCAGTTAAGGTAAAACTTTGATAGGAAAGCAACATGATCAGTGAAGATCATCTGTCTCATAGTTCAGACAAAGTGAAGAAAAACACAGACTTTACCTGTTGGTGGTCTGACTTAGATTAGGTAACATTCAATGCTTGCTTAGGTCACTGGGCCACCTATATATCTCTTTACTATGTGCTGGGTTGACTTCCCTGTGGTTATTAATAGCATTATAAATAAGTAGTTCATTAGATTTTTAAAAATAACTTACATTTCCCTGTTCTTCATCTGAAAACTATAGATAGCATTGTGCAAACTTAGATATTTTCTATAATATAGAGTCTCACAGGCCACCATTCTCATATTTTAAAAGGAGGGAAAATTGAAACCAAGGACATACAAAAAGAACTGAGAAACATGGGGATAGAGCTCACAAATAATGAACTCTGGGAGCTGCTGAAAACGCTGCCAAAGACTGGTAGGTATTTTTGTACTACTGTGATTTGTATCTCTGTGCTGGTATGGACTTCAGCCTGAGAAGGTTATGAAAAGTGACCCATCTAATTTCTTATAAAAATCTAGAAGACAAGGGAACCAGCAGTTAGCGTAATGGCTATGTCCCTGGACTCCCACGTAGTCGACCGCGGTTTGCGTCCCGGACCCGGGGGCTTAAAACTCACGCCGGGCGCGTGTGTGTGCATGCCCAAGATCCCGAAAGAAGAACAGAGGAGAAGGGATTGCGGCGTGACTATCCCCCCCTGGGGGATGATTTCTTGCTTTCTGTCTCTATGTCTCTGTCTGTCTGGCGAGCGCATATGCCCTATAGCAAAAACTCCCTCCCCCCCCAAAAAAAAATCTGGAAGACAAAAGGATTACTTTTACTTATAAAGAAATTATGTCTTTGGGGCCAGCAGGTGGTGTGATGATCAAGGTGCTGGGTCCCACATAGCTTACAACACTTTTTGAGTCCCGGACCCAGTTGCTTGAAAAATCACACCACCTGTGTGTGCATGTGTGCCCAAAACCCTGAGAGGAGACTGGAGGAGAAAGGTTGTAGAGTAGCCATCCTCCAGGGGCATGATTTCTCTCTGTCTCTATCTCTCTGTCTCTCTGGAGTGCATGCGCCCTATAGCAAAAAATACAAAATTTAAAAATTATGCCTTCAATATTTACATTTATGGTTTTGAGAGGCTATAATATCTTCAAACCCAAGTGCTGTTGTGAAGAGTATCACTACCCTTGGACAAATAAAACCTAAGCAGAACAAAAAGGAAAAGAATTTTCTTGCTGAGTTAGCAAGTAGGTGAGAGAAGGGACAGGAACAACTCAGAATGGGGATAAAGATATATCTTTTTCAGTATAGAAGAGTATAGCTCATTCACATTAAGAATTTTCTGCTTGGAGACCAGCAAATGACGTAGCAGTTACATCACTGGACTCCCACATGGCTGACCACAGTTCAAGTTCCAGACCTGGTGGTTTCAAACTCACACTGGGCGCATGTACATGCATGCCCAGGATCCCAGGAGGAGAAAGAAGGAGAAGGATTGCAGCGTGGCCATCCCCATGGAGGGTGATTTCTCACTTTCTGTCTCTCTATCCCTCTCTTTTCTTTCCAGCATGTTGCATGAGTCCTATAGCAAAAATCTCTCCAAGATAAATAAAAGAATTTTCTGCTTCTAGTCCTGTGTTCTAATGATTGATTGAGCAGGTTCCCGTGGACAGTCACACAATTTGAATCTCAGCCCTCAAAACACACCATGTGTATGAATGAGCATGCTCAAAATCTTGACAAGAGGGAGAAACAGAGAAGGGATTATGGCATCCCCATGCCCCATTGGGGGTGCTTTCTCCCTCTCCCTCCCTCTCTCTCTATTTCCATCTGTCTCTGGTGAAAACAAAGACCCTCTTGTAAAATAAAATTTGGAAAATTTAAAAATTAAAAATAATTTTCTTGACTTATTTATGAAGAGGTGTGTAGGCATGGGAAATGTAGGAATATAAATTAAGAAAATAAGTTTTTTAATCTGTATTGAAATTATGATCTTTTATTCTTTTTTCCCCCTTGTTTATATCATCTTTGTCTTTGATCTGAAATGTGTCTTATTTTGCAGAGGATGAAAAGGTGTATAAAAATACATTGCTTGATAATATAAAATCATTTCCTGGTAAGTGAGAACTTCAATAAGAAGGCAAGTGAAACCAAGATCTACTTTACTTTGGGAAAGAAGGGGGTTTTGTTTGTTTGAATAATTTCTAAGTATGTCATAACCCTCCTGCCTCAGCCTCCTGTGTGTGTAGTACTACAGGTATGTACCACCATGCACAGTCTGTTTTAGGGTGGGCTCAGAATTGAAGTGGGTCACTCACATGGCCTGAACTACCAACCAGCAGGGCACAGGACACTACCATGCCTAGCTGTATGCTTTAACTTTTAGAAGATCTTATCATTACAGAATAATCAGATTTTTATATTATTATCCACCAGCTTGTAGGTCTTATATATGCAGTTATATCTAGTGTGATCATTTATTGTTTTCTGACACTGAAAAGTTTCCAATTTTTTTTGTTATCCAAAATGCTAGTTATTGTCCTGTAACATAATTCATTGTGCTCACCTAAAAAATATATATGTATTTCATTTATGATATATAAAAGCATATATAATTAATATGTTGAAGTCATCTCTTATTTCTGGGGGATATGTTCCAAGACACCCATTGGAAGCCTGGAACTATGGGTAGTACTGAACCCTGTACATGGTATGCTTTTTCGACCAAGATGGCTGTCATTGACTAACAAGCAGGTGGCGTGTACAGCGTGGATAAGCTGGATGAAGGGGTGACTCACATCCAGGGTGATATGGAGATAAATGGCATGAAGATATCATCAGGCTCCTCAGAACAGCACACTATTTAAAACTTAAGATTGTTTATTGCAGGAATTTTCCATTTAATATTTTCATTCTGTGGTTGACCCTGGGTAACTGAAACCATGGAAAATGAAACACAGATAAGGGAGAACTACTGTATAAATAAAGTTATATATAACTTACATCCTATATAGTTAAGTTCCTTCTAAATACAGTGCTCCTGCAAACTATAGAAACCATTCCCTGAAACAAGATTGGCAGGATATATTATATTCCTGACTTTCACGATAAGTTTCTATGTAACTCTAAACAGTTCTTTTTTCTTAATTATTGTACTGTGGATTTGTTCCATCTGATTTTAATGGGTGTATAGATTAACCTATATTTTTCTTAACTATTGATTCCTGTTTTTTCTTTTATCCTTAACCTGTCCTCAGGTGGGAAGTGCTATGTCTCTAAAATGAATACTGCCCTGGAAAACTTGGGTTATGAGCTGGAGGATGAGGAAGTTAAGGACTTACAGAACCACCTGCCTGTTGCTGGTGAGCATGTCACTATGCGTTTGTGGGAATCTTAGCTCCTCTAGTAAGATTCCCAAATGAGTTTATGTGGAAAAATGTACTATCTCAGATTATAGCATTTAGATAAAAGACATAAGTAATCTGTTAAACAGTGAGTCCCACCTATAAGGCTACAATCAGATGCCATTGAAAACTATCAGACCCGGGACCAGCAGGTGACGTGGTGGTTAAGGCTCTGGACACTCCCACATGGCCTTCGATTTGAATCCTGGACCTCATGGCTGGCTGACTTCCTTCCTTCCTTCCTTCCTTCTTTCCTTCCTTCCTTCCTTCCTTCCTTTCTTCCTTCCTTTCTTCCTTCCTTCCTTCCTTTCTTCCCTCCTTCCTTCCTTCCTTTCTTTCTTTGGAGAGGTTTTGGCTATAGGGCATGTGCACTTGTCAGAGAGACAGAAAGAGAGAAGTACCCCCCAGGGGAGATGGCCATGTCACAATCCCTTCTCCTCCATTCTCCTCTTGAGATCTTGGGCACGCATGCACACACGCCCGGCGTGAGTATAAGCCACTGGGTCCAAGACTCAAATCGTGGTCGACTACATGGGAGTTCAGTAACATAGCCATTAACGCTAACTGCTGGTCCCATGGCTTGCTTTCTCACTTTCCTTCTCTCTCTATGTGTGTCTCTCTCTGGTAAAATTAAAATAAATAAATAAATTACAAAAATTAAATCAATAATTCTTTCTTAAGAAAAGACAGAAAAAAAAAAGTGTCAGACCAAAGAAACAAATAGAGAAATGAAACAAAGGAATTTTTTTAAAAAAGGTTTTTGCTATAGGGTGCATGCACTCGCCAGAAAGAGAGACAGAAGTCGAGAAATCACCCCCCAGAGGGGATGGCCATGCCACAATCCCTTTTCCTCCATTCTCCTCTTGAGATCTTGGGCATACACGCACATGCGCCTGGGGTAAATTTAAGCCACCAGGTTCGGGGCTCAAACCATGGTCGACTACATGAGAGTCCAGCAACATAGCCATTGCAACACCAACTGCTGGCCCCCAAAGGAATATTTTTTTCAAGAATTATGTATTTATTTATTTATTAACTATTTTTATTAAATTAATTTGGACAGAGAGCTACAGAGAGAATAAAAGAAAAGGAAAGTGAAAAATCAAGCCACCAGGTCCAGGACTCGAACTGCTGTTGGCCATGTGAGAGTCCAGTGCCCTAACCATCATGACACCTGCTGGCCCTGCAAAGGAATATTTTTGAAGAAAAAGTCAGAGAGGAAAATTGCGAATAAAAATTATTCAGAAACAAAAATAAAAATTCCTTAGATCACCACAAAGCTTAACTAAATAAAAGAACATATAACAACAACAAAAAAAAATTCCTAACCATTCTAGCTAAAATAACTAATAAATCTCCAATAGAAATTGAGAGTGAGGTGAAAATTTCAAGTGTTCCCGTCTGCCTGCGTAGTTCACTTCATTCTATCCTGATATTAATCCTCAATAGGAATAATAAAAAATAAATTTGTTTATGAGGGTTAAATGAGCTATGGAGTGTCATTTTAAGATTAGGTTCTACATTGGAATGGGTTTCATATGTTCACAACATAATGTTAAATGTTGAAGGTGTTGAATATGTTTATATTCTTGATTTGTTTATTACAGTGTACATATGCTTTTAAAGACCATTATGTACCCTACAAACATATGCAATGATTATATGTAAACCATAAATTACAATAAAATTTTTAAGAGAAAAAAATTAGGTTCTATGGGGCCAGCAGGTGGCATGGTGGTTAAGGCACTGGACTCCCACATGGCCGACCAGGTTCAACTTGCTTTCTCATGATTTCCCTCTCTCTCTCTATCTCTGGTGAGTGCATAAGCTCTATAGTAAATTTTAAAAATAATAATAATTGGTATCAGCAGTTGGCATAATGGCTATGTCGCTGGACTCCCATGTAGTCGACTGTGGTTCGAATCCTGGACCTGATGACCTAAACTCACACTGGGCATGTGTGTGTGTGCGTGCCCAAGATCTTGAGAGGAGAATGGAGGAGAAAGGATTACAGCATGGCCATCCCCCCTGGTGATTTCTCACTTTCTGTCTCTCTTTCTGGCAAGTACATGCACCCTATAGCAAAAGCCTCTCCAAAAAATAATAATAATAATAATTAATAAAGTTAAATTTTTAAAGAGTTTAGGTTCTAAAGTCAGCTTATAAATTAAATACATCAAGAAATGTCACTGTATATAATAACTACATATTCAGATATACATACATGTAATGTCAGGACAAAGTTGACAGAAGTTAATGACAAGATATGAGTTGGTGAAAAAATAAAGGAGAGGGGCCACTTCCAGGAAGGGCTTGTACACTTGGTGCAGGAGCTACAGAACTCAGAGATTGCACGTGAAATAGTGGGTGTACCAGCATGTGCACTGGTTCCAGCGCTGGTTCTGACCGCCTCATTACCATTTTTCCACCCAAGGGCCAGCTCTACAAGTAGAATATACTCTCAAGTCTATTAACTAGGGTGGCCTTTCATCAATAGCTGTCAGAGGGAAAGACTGTGCAGTAATTAACACACAGAAGAAAGTTCCAGACAAATTACTGGATTCCAGCACAGTGACTCACTTATTCACGATAACTGAAAATACTGGCTGTGTGATGACAGAAATGATAACTGAAAGCCGATCCCAGGTACAAAAGGGCATGCTATGAGGCAACAAATTGGGAATACATGGAATTATATGCCTGTCTGCTGTTCTATCAATTGATTTCAAGCCTTCAGAAATAGAAGTTGGAGTAGTTATAGTTGAAAATTCTAAAATTAGGATTTTTACAGAAGCAGAAATTGACACTCACCATGTTGCCCTAACAGAGAGAGACTAAACGTTGTTATTAGTTTACCAAATCCATGATGCCACTTGCCTGTGTGTTTGTTAACAACAAATCAACATATGGAGGCAGCTAGATTGTAAAAGGAGCCTCTTCCACTACTTCTACTGCTGAAGTGGTTAGGACTCTGTATAAATAAAACAGTGTTTTGGGGGGAAAAGAAAAGGAGGAGAAGGAGGAGGAAGAGAGGAGGAAGAAAGAAATAGAGAGAGTAAGGAGAGGTAGAAGTAGGTATTTCTGCCTTTACCATAGTCTCCTAATTGAGGCCAGAAGCCAACACAGGAGTGAAGGCTATTGGGAATCTGGGGTAGCAGAGCTGGTATAGTCTACCTCATAGATCGAGAGGGGAAAATGTAGCCTTGGACCAGGACTTCTTAAATCTTGGAGCTAACAGCCAGCTACAAGAAGCAGCTACCTACCTGTTTTAGGTAAATAAATATACTAATACTCTAATACTACAGAAGAGTAAGACAGTCAAATATATCGGGTTGTCGGGTAAGTCATGACACATTTTTTGCATAGAAAAATACAGCATGACATTGATAACACCTTTTTTGTTATGACTGGATCTCATTTGTCCTTTATTTTACAGATGAAAAGACAGTTAAGCTGAGTAAGCTCATGGAAAATGTAGAATCATTTACAGGTGAGTGAAAGGTTATAGGAAAAAATTATTGTAGATAACGATTCTAGTGCCTTTTCCATTATATTTTTAGTATTCTATTTTCATCATACATCAACTTGTTAGTTCTTTTAGTATGTTAATGATATCTTTTATCCAATGACCCAGATTAATTTTGGGTTATATACATTTTGAGCGAAACTATTAAATTATTATGTCTTGGGGTACCAGCAGTTGACGTAATAGCTATGTCGCTGGACTCCCATGTAGTCGACCACAGTTTGAGCCCTGGACCTGGTGGCTTAAACTTACCCCTGGTGCGTATGTGTACATATCCCGAGATCCCTAGAGGAGAATGGAGGAAAAGGGATTGTGGCATGGCCATCTCCCCTGAGGGGTTATTTTGGTAAAATACCCTGTAGTCTCTGAAATTGTTTTTCAATAATTCATACCACATTTTCATTGTTTAAACAGCCAAAAGTCTTATGTTATCACAGTAACTGATGATATAAAATATTGTCATAAATCTTTCTGGGAATAATTTACTTTATCACATAGGAAAAAATCATACTAGATGCTATCTTCACAGAATGATTTATATAGTAATTTGTACAGTAGTCATTATAGACCTTTATACAACTCCATCTCAGAGTGTTGATTTATTCCATTATCAGAGCATTCAAAAAGTATTTTTCTCTCTAGAATTATAAGATTGAATTTTATTTCTGACATCACCCTACAGTCTTGGATCAGATGATATTCATTGCTTAAAATCATTTCACTCACTCTTAAATGTTTTATCAGTCATCATTTCCATTTTTTTCCAAAGGACTCAAAATTAATGCTAATGAAATAGATGATGTTTTGAAAAACATGGGCATAGAACTCACACCTAAGGAACATTGGAAGCTGCTAAACACTCTGCCAATTACTTGTGAGTCTTTTTTTCTTCTTTTCTTGTTAATAATAGAGAATATATATGTATACATAGAGGCACATGCACAAAAGAGAGAGGGAGAGAGGCAGAGAAGTACCCTCAAAGGGACTCACCACACAACAACCTTTTCCAAGTCCTCCATCCCATCAGGATCCTAGGTACCCATATGCATGCCTAGAATGTTTTCAGGCTGGCCTAGGGACTTGAACCCTCAGTTGGCCATATAGCTTCAAGCCTTGCATTATCACTGTGCAACAGCAGCTGAGCCTACTTGTGAGCACTTCTAATAAAATTTCAGTCTTCAGAGGAACTTAATTTAGGTATATGTGTTATTAGGAGGTGAGGGATTCATTAAATCATATATTTATATTCAGAATATGGATAAAATACTTCTTAGGTGATGAGATTAAAGACAAAAATCCTTACCCTCAATGGAGGATATTGTAAGGGATAGAATATATTCTATTGGGCTTCAGCCTGAAGACTTTATAAATGAATAAATATCTGACAGGGGACCAGCAGTTAGCATAATGGCTATGTCGCTGAACTCCCATGTAGTCGACCACAGTTCAAGTCCCGGACCCGGTGGCTTAAACTCATGCCAGGCACATGTGCATGCGTGCCTGAGATCCTGAGAGGAGAATGGAGGAGAAGGGATTGCAGCATTGCCATCCCCCCGGGGGGTGATTTCTCACTTTCTATTTCTCTGTCTTTCTGGTGAGCACACACACCCTTTAGCAAAAACCTCTCAAAAAAAAAAAAAAAGGATGTCTGACAGTCTTAAAACATAAAGAGAAAGAAGGAGAAAAAGAGAAATTAGATAATGAGGGTAGGATAAAAAGAGTGAGGTCAACATAGTAATATGAATAAATTTAGAACTTTCTCTGCTCCTTCACTTTATTCTTTAAGCCAGGGAAGAGAAGATAAGACCCAGCATTTGCAATGCAAGCTGTAGCATACTGATCTTCAGTGCTGGAAGCTGCGTGACTGATCCAGGTTCAAATTCCAGGTCAACCTGAAATATACTCAGCATGTGTGTAACCAGAATTCTGGTTAACTTAAAGGACTAGAGGATCACAACACGATGAAACCCTGACAAGGGTGTCTGTTTGTTTCTCTCTCTCTCTTGCCCCAAATGGGGGGTATGTGCATGAGAAATTGGACAAATCTATAAGACAAATTATTTAAATCTTTATGAAATAGTAATCTATACTGTTGTAAATGAATTGCTCTATCACTTTCTACATGACATCGATTATGTATTTTCTTACAGTTGATGGAAAGGTGTATCGCAACCGATTGCTTGATCGTATAAAGACTTTCCAAAGTGAGTTGTAAGTGTAGTAAGAAGTCATATAAAACATATCTTTTTTGTTATTATTTGTTAGATTTTTGCCATAAGATGTGTGTGCTTGCCAGAGAGACACAGAGACAGAGAGAGAGGGAAAGTGAGAAGTTATTCCCAGGGGAATTACCACACCATAATCCCTTCTCCTCCATTCTCCCCTTGGGATTTTGGGCATACATGCACATGCACCCTGTGTGTTTTCAAGCTGCCAGACTCAGGACTTGTGAACTGCAGATCTGGTCATGTGGGATCCAGCGCCTTAACCACCATGCCACCTGCTGGCCCCAGATCTTTAAGCTATGTATTTCCTTTTGAGAAGTCCCTTCAAATATTTAATTATTACAATAACTATAGTATTCTTTTTTTAATTTTTAATTTAATTTTATTTATTAGTAGTATGTTTAAATTTGACCAGAGAGAGACAGAGACAGAGAGAGAGAGGGAAAGTAAGAAAGCAAGTCACCAAGTCTGGGACTCTAACCAGTATCAGCCATGTGGGGGTTTGGCACATAGACGTAACTACGACATTTAATTTTAGGCATAATTTCACATTTCTCTATCTCATCTTTTTCTTAAGGAGGGAAGATTTGGGAAAATAAACTAGAAACTATTCTGGAAGACATGGACTTTGAACTTGAAAAACAAGAAATGGAAGATCTACGGAACCATTTGAAAATTGATGGTATTTCACTTACCTCTTAGCACTTTTTTTCAGAAGAATCTTTGAAGTCCTCTGATAGAGCTCTAAGAACATTCTTGTTCAATCTTATTTAGAAAGCAATTACTGGTAGAGTTGTAAAACTCACAAAGACAAGATTTCTGATTATTACTCCCAGTATTTTCAGAGGATACTAAGGGCACTGGTAGGTGTAGATTTGTCTAGAAAAGGCAAAGGAAGGCTTCTGAAAAAAAGTAACAAATTATTGAACTAGATGTTGGAAAAGGTCAGAGATTGACATACCAAGTGAGAAGGTAAGAAGCGTTTGGAATTGATTTGCAAGTAATGTACAAATAGAGCTGGCCAGACTTTCATGTAACAAATATCTGAATATTAGAACGTGGCTGAAACAGAGGGCTGGTGACGTCTGACTTGAGATCATTCATCTGACACCAGAAGGATATCTCTGAAGTCAAAAGGACCATTAAGGAAAAGAATTTAAGATCAAAGTTAACATATTAAAAACCTCCTTCGAATTCTATAACATATTTGGATACAAGAAAAACTTCCAGAAATCAACAAATTTCCTCTGTTTTTTTGCAATGACAACTTAGAAAAGTTTGTGGAATAAAGTGATCCCATTCCCAATAGCAGTAAATGTCCTATCTATACCTGCTTTGTTTGTGTTTCAGATCATGGAAAGGTTGCACTGAGTTCTTTGATGAGTGCAGCCAACTTATTTTCTGGTGAGTGAGAAGGAATGATGAAAAGATATAAAATCAAGATTATTTACTGAGATCCTTTACTGTAGAATGCCTTGCACATATGTTTTAATTGTATATCCCCACTGCATAAATGACACACAAGCCTTATTTTACCAGTATATTGATGGCATGTTTATTTTAAAGAATATAGATTAATTTTTTGCCAGAATGCATGTGCTCTTGCTGGAGAGAGACAGAGAGAGACATAGAGGGGAAGTGAAAAGCACTCCCCACTCACACACTTGGAATGGTCATACTACAATCCCTTCTCCTTCATTCTCCCTCCTTTGGGGATGTTTGGGCATACACATACATGTACACAATGTGTTTTTCTTTCTTTTTTTTTTTTAAGAGAGATTTTTGCTATAGGGTTCATCATTCACCAGAGAGACAAAGAGATAGAAGGCAAGAAATCACCCCTCAGGGGGCTGACTATGCTGCAGTCCCTTCTCCTCCATTCTCTTCTCATGACTTTGATGTGCATGCATACATGCCCAGTGTGGGTTTTAAGCCACCACTTCCAGGACTCAAACCGGTTGACTATGTAGGAGTCCAGCAACATAACCATTATGCCATCTGCTGGTCCCTGATGTGTTTTTCAAGACAGCAGTCTAGGACACAAACCACACGGTTGACCATGTGGGATCCAACTGCCTTAACCACCACAACAGGGGCTGACCCAATGTAGTTGAATTTTGGGGGCTAGCTTGGTAATGCCAGATCCACATGGAAGACCATGGGCCATGATCCTGTCTGGGTAGGAGGAGTGGAGAGATCATGGCCTGAAACCTTATTGAGGATCTCTCTCTCTCTCTCTCTCTTTCACTCTCCTTAACTCTCTCTTTTTTCTCCCTCTCTCCTTCCCTCCCACTCTCTCTTTTAGAAGAAATAAATAAACCTTTCCAAAAATAGATTATAAAGGGATTTTATATTACCTGCTTTTTCAGAAGTATCTTTTTTTTTAAGAAGTCTTGTTTTTTAGAGGCTGATTGGCTTGTTACCATTTTGTATTGCTTTGATTTTTAGGCTTTGCCATAGAGTGTGTGCACTTACCAAAGAGAGAGAAACAGAAACAAAGAGAGTGAAAATGAGAAATCACCCCCCCCCCCAAGGGGGACAGTCATGCCACAATCCCTTCTCCATTCTCCTCTTGGGATTTTGGGCAACACACATGCACTCGGTGTGATTCTCAAACTTCTGGTCTGGAATTCTAACCACAATCAGCCATATGGGAGTCCAGCATCTTAACCACCACTACTGCTGGCTCCATTCCTGTTGTTTTTAAAGCAGTAATAAAAGTTCTTTTGACTAGGCTTAAAGGAAATGTGGTCTATTTTTAGCTTCTTCTGTGGTGCTCTGCAATTAGAGAAGCCTCATTATGCCTTTGTTCTTCTGCTCCTACATGTCTTACAAGTTGAAATATTGCTGTATAAAATTTTAATTTAGAATCGTTATGTATGAAAATGTACCCTTATTACATTTCCTATCTTTTTAAAGGTGATAAGATTAATGCCAGTGACACAAAATCGTATCTGGAAAATGTAGGTATTGAATTCACAAAAAAGGAAAGTAAGGAGTTACTGGACATACTGCCATGGGATGGTAAGCATTTCAGATATTGTGAAAGAATTGGGACTTATGAGTTGTGTGCATTAAATTCTAGAAGTATAACTGTTTAAATTCCTGTATAAAAATTAGGAAAGGGACCAGCAGCTAGCGTAATGGCTGTGTCACTGGACTCCCATGTAGTTGACCGCGGTTCGAGTCCTGAACCCAGTGACTTATACTCACGCCAGGCACATGTGTGTGCGTGCTCAAGATCCTGAGAGGAGAATGGAGAAGAGATTGCAGCGTGGTCTTCTCCCTGAGGGGTGATTTCTCACTTTCTGTCTCTCTGTCTCTCTCTGTCTCTCTGGCAAGTGCATGCACCCTGTAGCAAAAACCTCTCCAAAAAAAAAAAAATTTTAAATAAAAATAAATAAATAAATAAATAAAAATTAGGAGAAAAGTAAGTGTAGAAAGAGCCATTTCTAACATAAAATATCCTGTTCTTACTATTTAAATCTTAATTTGAGAGGCAATACTTTGGGGTACTGTTATAGATAAATAATTTTTTTCCCAAGAGATCTTTGCTATAGGGCAAAAACTTCCAAAGACAGAGAGAGACAAAGAGACAGAAAGCAAGAAAACACCTCCCCCCAGGGGATGGGGTTCTCCTCTCGGAATTTTGGGCATATATGCACACATGCCTGGTATGAGTTTCAAGCTGCCAGGTCCAAGACCCAAATTACAGTCGATCACATAGGAGTTCAGGACCTTAACCACTATGCAACCTGCTGGCCCTGATGGTTTTATCTTTAATTTGGCTTTTTCTTTTTCTATTTTTCTATTTTTTATTGACATATAGTCGTACATATTTATGGGGTACAGTGTGATTTTTCAGTACATGAATACAATGTATAATGATCAAATCTCGGTATTTAGCATAGTCAGCACCATAACATTTATCACTTTGTGTTGGGAAAGATTAGCAGTTTTAAATGTTGGACCCAGTATCCATAAGAAACCCGAAGCTGTAGGTAGGAAAAGGTGATGATCCAAAGAGCTGCAGCAGGGAAGAAAAAGGCAAAGAAGGAAGGAAGGAAGGAAGGAAGGAAGGAAGAAAGGAAGGAAGGAAGGAAGGAAGGAAGGAAGGAAGGAAGGAAGGACAATATTTTACCATGTTAGAGTTCTACTGTAGTACATCAGATGTCAGAGAACAAAGAGATAGCTTTGAGAACATCTTATTAATTTCTCTTCTCCCTTCTTTGGATTATAACTATGAAAAAAAATGTTCTAATTTGTAAATAACTAAACATTGCAGTCTTTCTGAATTTCCACTTCTTTGTGAACTAAATTGATCCTTATCTTACAGATAATAAAAGAGTATATAAAAATAGATTGATGGATGGAGTGAAGACTTACGGAAGTGAGTAAAAAGCATGCTGTGAAAACTAACATCTTCAAACTGTTGTATTTACTTTTATAAGTAAAACTCTAAATTCTAAAAGTATGCTGTTTAAATTCCTATGAAAAATTAGGAGAAAAGTAGGTGTAGAAAGAGCTATCTCTGGGACCAGCAATTGGTGTAATGGCTATGTCGCTGGATTCCCATGTAGTCGACCATGGTTGAAGTCCTGGACCTGGTGGCTTAAACTCATGCCGGGTGCATGTGTGTGCGTTCCCAAGATCCCAAGAGGAGAATGGAGAAGGGATTGCTGTGTGGCCACCCCCCCACACCCCCACCCAGGCAGGGCGTGTTTCTCTCTGTCTCTTTGTCTCTCCTGGTTTTTCTGGTGAGCGCATGTGCCCTATAGCAAAAATCTCTCAAAAAAAAAAAAAAAAAAGAAAGAAAGAAAAAAAAGAAAAAAAGAAAAGAAAAGAAAGAGCCATCTCTTATTTCTTGATAGTTAAGATTACCAATTGTGGTGCTACATTCTTTGTATCAAGACTTAGCATTCTTATACAAAGTTACATTTAGGATAATAGTCTATGCTATTTTGTAACTGTAGCAAATTTAAAATAGTACTTGTAACAAAATTTTAGATTGGTTGTTTCTTTCCTATAATTCTTGTCTTGCCTGATCTCTTAGTGAACTTGTCCTAGAATTCCTGGAACAGTGCTTCCTGGTACATTGCTGAGGGAGAATTTTTCTATTGCTAATCCCCAAGTAATTATTTTTTTCATTTCAAGAATGTGATGGTACCGTTGCTGTTTACTTCCTATTTGTGTTGATTACTGATATGAGCAATCATTTTTCCCTCTGGCATAAACATAAATTTATTTTATTCTTATCCCCCTTCTTTCTTAAGATGGAAAGGTTGATATTGATAAAATAGATGATGCTCTTGAAAACATGGGATTCTCACTTGAAGAAGAAGAAATTGAGAAAATATCCAGAAACCTATTAGTTGATGGTGAGCATTTCAAATACCACTGCTCTGTAACACAAATTTTGTTTATGAGAGCATCTTAAATATGACTTGTTAATTTCATGCAAAAATCCAGGAGGATATAGAAACCCAATTCTAAAGAATGGAGAAATATTGTCTCTTAATATTAACCTTAGATAAAATATCAATAATTGCTTATATTGCTGCTACCAGAGCACCTATCCCAGACAATGTCAAAATAAAATTATAGTCAGTGTAGGAATGAAGTACATATTATTTTTTTTAATTTTTTGAGAGGAAGAAGGAGTAAAGTAAGAATTCAGAGTAGTTAACATAAAGAAGAAAAAAATGGTGAAAATTGTTGAATATCATTTGTACTATTGTAAAATATATATAATGTATGCCCAAGAATTATATTCAATAAATTCATAGGTCTCGAACTTTAGTCTTTATAGAAGTAGTTGACTCTTACAAGATTGTGATCAAGTAGGTCTGAGGTAAAGCCTGTGAATCTTCAACTTAAATAAACAACTGCCTTGTTGAAATATTGGGTTGTCAGTGACTAGCAGATGGTGTAAGGGATCTGTCGCTGGACTCCCACATAGTCGACCACAGTTCAAGTCCCAGACCCCGCTACTTAAACTCACACTGGGTATGTGTGCATGTGTGCCCAAGATCCCAAGAGGAGAATGGAGGAGAAGGGATTGCAGTGCTACCAAACACTCTGGGGGTTGATTTCTCACTTTCTGTCTCTCTGTCTCTCTCTGTATTTCCAGCAAGCACATGTACCCTATAGCAAAATAATAATAATAATAATAACTCTCAAAAAAAAGAAAGAAATATTGAGCCATCAGAAAAGCTATGATGTATTTTTTATGTTTTTTAATGCAAAAAAGGAACATGACTTTTTCAATGACACAATAGATAACTTTTAGAATAAAGAAAAATAAATATTGGTACACTGTTTGGGATTAGTAGCCGTTTGCATGACCTTTAGCAACAGAATCTAATCAAAGCACTCTGGTTAACTCTGCATTTTGAGTATCATTAGCATCATGAGATAATACTATAGGTTGATAAATGATTTGATAAGCATCCCAAGAAGTACTGATTTACCTAAGGTAATCTAATATAATTTGAACATGTTCAAATTTACAAAACCTTCTGTTTGCCAAAAAGAGGCCTCCTGACTCTTTTTTTTACAACTCTGTGTAATACATGAGTTAAGTAAGACTTAAAGCTCCTGTTGGAATTGCAATATGGCCTTACTCTAAATTATCTAGATAGCAATCCATATGAATGTCTTGAAATTCATATTATTGGAATTTGCCTTTGCTCTGTGGACAGAACCAAGAGCTGAGTTTCAGAAATACAAATAATAGTAATAGTAATAATAATAATAATAATAATAATACACAAAGATACAGCAGTAAACCAGAGAGATCTAGAGAGTAGCTAGAGAGATGTTTAAAATACTTTAAATAATAAAGAAAAAACAAATCTCTGTTTCAATGAAGTGCTCTATTGTTTGGTCCGAAATTGTTCATAGTCCAGGGTGTACTTTGGCATTAGCAATTACAGTCACAGCAGCAGAAATTTTGTGTTGCTTTCTGTTGTATCCTCAACACTGAAAACTGGGCCTATGATAGGGCAGCCATCGAACAAATATCTAATGAATTAGAAAGAAATCCTAGGCAACTGTCAAGTCCTTAACAGTTCAAGAATTTTAGGTAATTAAGACCTGTATTAGTCTGCTCGGGCTGCTATAACAAATAATCATAGACTGGGTGGCTTAAACATTAGAAAGTTATTTTCTTGAAGTTCTAAAGTCTGAGAAATTCATGACTAATAGAACAGCCAATTCAGTGTCTGGGCAGACTGTCTTGCTCACCTGTAGACAATTATCTGATAGCTATATCCTCACATAGTGGGAGTGAGAGAGAAGGAGAGGTCTCCCATCTTCCTCATTTTATAAGGCCACAAACCTATTAGATTAAGGCCTTACCTTTACAATGTCATTTAACCTTAGTCACCTGTAAAGACCCTATCTCCAAATATAATCTCATTGGAAGTTGTGACTTCAACATAGGGATTTGGGGGAACATACATTCAGTTCATAGCAATACCATATCTAAATTGTGTCTTGTCTTATAGATAAGAAACGAGTTCAGCTGAATTCACTTCTGCATGAAGTAGATACATTTTTAGGTGAGTATGAAAAAATGCCAAGAAAACATAATAAAAATTACTTCTTTATGCTTAACAATGAAGGCTTATGATAACACATATGTATGTGTCAGAGAGAAAGAGAAAAATGCACTCAGCAGGATCTCCCCACACCACAGTGCCCTTTCCCTGGACCAGCAGCTGCTTAGGATCTTGGAATACACTTCGGTTTCCAGTGGGTGTTCAGATGGACTTAGGATCCAAACTGGTGGTCATGTGACTTCTAGTACTCCAGTTCAGTACACTACTGACTATGTCACCAGACTGGGTCAGAACAAAAGTTTTTAGAGTAGTAGGGACCAGCAGATGGTGTAGTGGTTACCTCACTGGAATCTCACATGACCGACTACAGTTCGAGTCTCAGACCTGGTGACTTGAAAATCATGCTGGGCGTGTGTGCATGTGTGCCGAAGATCCCAGGCAGAGAAGGGAGGGGAAGGGACTGCAGCATGGCCATACCCGTGGGGGTGAATTTTTAAAGTCTGGGACTCAAAGCCTGGTAGGCTGTGTAGGAGTCCAGCGACAAAACTTGCTACGCCACCTGCTGATCCCACTTTCTAGTGTTTTAATAGCAAAATAGCAAGGCAAATTACACATACAGGTAATATGACCACTGTGAATAAGCTCATAATTCAGATCAAAATAAAATAGTAAAGCAAAGATTACATGCTAGCAGAACTATTTATACCAGTGCACTGTTACAGAAACCGACTTCCTGTGTGCTGTGTCTGTTATTTATTCCCAACATTAGAGAACTTTTTACAAGAAAGAAATTTTATTTATTTTTTTAAGAAAGAATTTTTGCTATAGGGCACATGCAGTCACCAGAGAAACAAAGAAAGACATAAAGACAGAAAACAAGAAAGCACCCCCCAAAGGAGGATGGTCATACCACAATCCCTTCTCCACCATTCTCCTCTTGGGATCTTGGGCACATATACACACATGTCCAGCATGAGATTTAAGCCACCAAGTCCAGGACTTGAACTGCAGTCAACTACATGGGAGTCCAGTGACATAACCATCATTCCATCTGCTGGTCCCTACTTTTTTTTTAATTGTTGGAGGGCACACATATTCTCCAGGGAAAGCAGGGAATTATGGGAAGAAATCACCCCGCTCAGTGTGGCATGGTCACTCTGCAATCTTTTTTCTCTCATTTCACCATCCCATCAGGATTTGAGACATGCATACACTCATATACCTAGAACGTTTTTCAAGTCACTGTGGCCAATATTCAAACCAAGGTTGGCCATGCAGGATCCAGCTCCCTATGCACTACACATAACTCACACTACAAAGCTGGTCCAAAAGTTCTATTTTCAATCCTCTTTCTAATTCTGTACTACTGTTTTTCATCCTATATTTGAGGATGATGCTACATGTAGTTGGTTTGATTATTATTACTCAAATTTGAAATTTGACCTTTTATCATTATTTTATTTTCTAAGGGGAAAAAATTAACCATGAAGACTTGGAAAATATTCTGGAAAACATAGGGTTAAGAGAGCAACTGAAGGAAAACTCTGTGTTGATGAAGAGTTTGCCACTTGATGGTAAGCACTGGTTTACCAATGAAGTATTTCTCATTCCAATTCAAGTTAATTGATTATCATGAGGTAGAGACATTGCACTAGGCTGTGAGTCACACAAATGAATAAGACAACATCCAAATTCTAGAAGTACTCAATGTATAGATGGACAGAGCATACCAAAAAAAAAAAAAAATGCTATGCTCTATGGTAAGAACTATGGTATTAATGAATATGCACTACTCTGAAAGTATATCGGAGAAATTAACCAACTATGCCTAGTGAATCTAAGACTTTCCATTTCTCAGCCATTTTGCTATGGCTTTTCATTTGGTTCCAAATATACAAGTTTCGGCTCAGACTTCAGTTACCAAGGTTGATTTGTGAGGTGGGATTGAGAAATCCATATTAGCTCATCATCTATGTGGGAATAGAAGTCAAAGTTTGAACTCACTAAGATATGAGAACTTCGATGACAACAGATGACATCTCACTAGGATTAGATTGGAGAAGAATTTATTTTTATGAACTTGTCAATGAACATATCTAAAACAATATCCAAGTCATGTAGAAAAAAATATACAGAAATGCTCAGTATTAACATTCAAAGAAATCCTGTCATCCCATCAGATTTTTTAGCTCAGAAATCAACAAACTCTTCACTAATGAGTCCCACTATATCTAATAGTATTCTTGGGACCACTAATATGAGGAAATTTCAAAAAGTTCATAGACAAATGGAAATAACTTAAGACTTTATTTTGATGCAAAATGTTTTTTACAACTTTCTATACTTTTTTTCTTAATATGAATTTTCCATGAATTTTTGAAGACTTGTCAAGTGCATGATCTTAAGCAGGGGGTTGTTGTTAAAAGGGGGAAATTAGAAGAAAAGAGAGAGATGAGAAAGGCATAGCATGGTATCACCAAGAATCAGTTTTTAAAAATGGGTAGATTCACTGTCTTAACTACTTTCTGCTATTGATTTAATTATTATTTGGAATATAAATAGAAAAAATTAGCAAAATTATAAAAATTGCTCTTTCTGAAGTTGCTGGGTTTCAAATTGTCTCAGCAGGTCTTCTTATCAATTACTATACTGTGCTTTCTTTTACAGCTTCTGGAAGGTTGTTTAAGCATAAGTTGCTGGATGGCATTAAGTCTCTCAAAGGTAAGTGAGAAATCAGGTAAAATTGAGACATGTTTTACATTTGCTTTTTTATAAGCACATATTTTGGTGATATAAAGGTGTCAACCACTTATTTATTGAGTGTTTTTATCATCATTTACTACTTTGAACATAATTATCTTTGATGAAATTATGCATTGCTTTATCACTAAATTTCAAATCTATTTTCTGAATAGAATTACCAAGGCAATTCTTGCCAGAATTCACCAGATTTATCTAATTCTTGCTTCATCCTTATAAATGGCTCAGGAGAGCTACAGGCAGATCCTTTGGTCAATATGAAGGAGCAGGTTCTGTTAATGATTCTCATGCCAGCTCTTTACACAAAATAACTTTTTTTTTTTCACAAAATAACTTTTTTGTTCCTTTGTTCCCATTTTAATTAGTGCATGGAAATACCTAGAATTTTTCACTTTGTCATTATTGTTTGCTTTTCTCATTCCCATCCCCTTTTTGTCAAGGAGTAAAACTTAGTGTTAATAAACTAGAACCCTTCATGAAAAATATGGGCTTCAAGCTTGAGGAAGAGGAATTCCAAGACCTGATAGAGGGCCTGCCCATTGATGGTGAGTTGCTCCTTCAGTCGAACTTTGGATTCATATATGAGAATTTCTGAGAGTATATTTGAAGTTGTGTAAAACATTGAAAAATAAAAATATAAGGGCTCAATTCTCAAGAATTCATTAATTCATGCAGTTGACTTCATTGAGTGCCTAATATGCTTACACTATTAAGAATATAGAAATGGGGGGAACCAGCAGTTAGCTTAATGGCTATGTCGCTGGACTCCCACGTAGTCGACCGCGGTTCGTGTCCCGGACCCGGTGGCTTAAAACTCACGCCGCGCACGTGTGCGTGCATGCCCAAGATCCCGAGAGGAGAATGGAGGAGAAGGGATTGCGGCGTGACCATCCCCCCTGGGGGGTGATTTCTTGCTTTCTGTCTCTATGTCTCTCTCTGTCTGTCTGGCGAGCTCACGCGCCCTACAGTGAAAATCTCTCCAAAAAAAAAAAGAATATAGAAATGGGGACCAACAGATAGCGTGATGATTACATTGCTAGACTCACCTTGGCCAACTGCAGTTCGAGTCCTGGACCTAGCAGCTTCAAACTCACACCAGACCTGTGTGTGTGTGCATGCCCAAAATCCCAAGAGAATGAAGGAAAAGGGATTGCAGTGTGGCCATCCTCCCAGAGGGGTGACTTCTTACTTTCTGTCTTTCCGTCTCTCCAGCAAGTGCACACACCCTACAGCAAAAATCTCTTTATATAAATAATAATAATCATAAATAAAATTCAGTAATTCTTAGAAAATAATATTACAATGAAGACAGATTCTCTGACCTCTAGGAATCTATAGCCTAATAAGGAGTCACACACACTAATAGGCCATCCTAAAACCACATGGTTGTACTATAAAACTAAAAATACAGTGAGTGAGATTCCAAAGGAGAAAGAGCTAAGTTTGCGGTCTCTGTAGTGGAGGTATAGGCCCTGATAACCTCCGTGACTGATAACATGTAAGTTATGAAAAAGTAGAATTTTAAGAAGGGATATCTTGATGTGTAAGTCATCAGTCATATTAAGCCAATTCAGGAATTCAGGGAAAGGTTCAAATTACAACATCAAGAGAGCAATTTCAGTTTTAGACAAGTTAAAATACCTGTAAGATATTAGTATATGCATAAAGATGGTTGGAAATGAATACTCAAATAATCCATCTTATTTACCTTTAACTAGGAAGTTAACATACACAAATTTAGCAAAGTTTTAGCAATGTGTCAGAGCACCAAAGAGATTATTAACAGACCAAAAGAATAAAAATAAATAAATAAATAAATGAAATATCTAATAGGGAAAGTTTGAAGTAAGCAGATAGAATAAGGAGGGGAAAGTATTTAAAAAAAAAAAAAAAGACAGAAAATGGGCTAGCTACATGGTCTCATGGTTAAAACAGCCAGATCCCACATTGTTGATAATGCGGTTTGAGTCCCAGACCAGGTGGCTTGAGATCACACCAGACAGATGTGCACACATACCCAAAATCCCAAAAGGAGAGAGAGATGGAGGAGAAGGGATTATGATGTAACCGATTCTCCATGGAAGGTGTTTTTCTCTTCTCCCTCTTTCTCTGTGTCTCCGTATGGTGAGTACATGTGCCCTCTAGCAAATAAATAAATAAAAAGACAGGAAAGAAAAATTCACCAGGAACTAGCTTAAGATGGAGAATAACAATAATTCCCAAAATAATTTGTCTTTACATCAATCACATTTAGCATGTATTAGCAAAGCCTTATAATAGTGGGACCTTCAAGTATCCAATAAGAACTTTTTTCAAAATAATTGAGAAAAAAACAGCAAAAACCTAGGCTTCATCCCACTGGTTCCATTGGTTATATGGCGCTATGCAAAGAACTCAGATAGGAATCAGCCAAGCATGGATTTGAATCTCAGTTCTGAAAATTCTTGGCTGTGTAAGACTAGTCAAATTAACCTTTCTGAATCATAGTTGCCTTCTGTAAAAAAGAATATAATAGTTACCCTTCATAATCATTGTAAGTTCCTCGCATAGGCCTTTGCACATAGTAGCTCCTGTTACTACAATATTAGTATTGAAAACCAATTTACATTCACCTAAACACAGTGCCACTTACTTACACCTTTATCCTTGTCAGAAGAAAGTGAATTTTTTATAAGGTATGTTTTATTTACTGCTAGAAATATATAATTTTCCAGTATTTTTGATGTACCTGTAAAAGGATATATTTTTTCTTATCCCATTTTTTGGGTATCTTGAAACCTTACTGGAATACCACAGTGATTTTGGTTGTGAAAGTATCAACCATCTCCCTGAATACTACTTTTCAAGTCAAAAAACCCACAGGAAACAGCATTAGAGACCTATTTCATGCTATTCATAGCTCTTCTGTAGGACCGACATACATGAGAATGGGTAGGACATATTCCTGTGAGGCACTGACCAGCTATCATGCTGAAACTTTTAGATTCTTTAAAAGAAAAATACAAAGTGCAGACTTTTTAAACAAAATTTAAAAATGTTGTTAAACTTTAATCAGATTGATCAAAACTGTTTTTTAGTTACTAAGGTGTGGTTAGTGGAATAATGAAATCCTAAACTAAGTGTTATCTATAGATTGAATACAAAAATAGGCATCATGGGGGACCAGCAGTTAGTGTAATGGCTATGTAGCTGGACTCTCACGTAGTCGGCCGCAGTTCGAGTCCTGGACCTGGTGGCTTAATCTCACGCCGGGCATGTGTGCGTGCGTGCCCAAGATCCCGAGAGGAGAATGGAGAAGGGATTGCGGTGTGGCCATACCCCCTGAGGGGGATTTCTCGCTTTCTGTCTCTCTGACTCTCTCTGTCTGGCGAGCGCACGTGCCCTATAGCAAAAACCTCACACACACACACAAAAAAGGCATCATTATTACTCTAAGACAGATTTCTTAAAAGAATTATTTATTTAATTTTATTGGTTTTTGTTCGTTTATTTTTAGAGGTTTTTGCCTTACGGCATATGCACTTGCTAGAGATAGAGAAACAGAGACATTGAGAGGGAAAGTGAGAAATAACCCCCTAAGGGGGTTAGCCATGTCATAATCCCTTCTCCATTCTCCTCCTGGATTCTTGGGCACACACAAATGCACCTGGTATAATTTTGAAACCACTAGCTCCAGGACTCAAACTGCAGTTGGCCATATGGGAGTCCAGCGATGTAATTGCTATATTGTCCCTGTATTATTAGTATTTTAATTTGCCATAGAACATATATACTCACCAGAGACAGAGAGAAAGAAAGTAAGAAAGCAAGTCACCAGGTCTGGGACTCAAACTACAATCGGCCATGTGGGAGTCCAGTGCCTCAACCACCATACCACTAGCTCTAACAGATGGATTTTGCTCAAACATTTATCATTTTAAGTTGCTTGCCAGCATTATCATTAATAAGACAGTGTTATTCCAGATATGAAAGTAGAAAGGGCTACTTTTGGGGCCAGCAGGTGGAATAGTGGTTACAACCTGAGAGTCCCACATGGTTGACTACAGTTCAAGTCCTGGACCTGGTGGCTTACCTTTTCACTTTCTTTTTCTCTATCTGGTGAGTACATGTGCCCTATAGCAAATTTAAAAAGTAATAATAATTATTAATAAAATGAAATAATTCTTTTTAAAAGTATCTTTTTTATCACTGAAGCTTTATATTTCTATATTTCCCATTTGGAATGAAAACAGTATGAAATTCTAATGCAAATCATAAAAATCTGCTGAATTGGTGTTTTACTTCAATATATGACATTTATACTTTTTATTGCTATTATTGTTTTTATGCATGAAATTATATCTTGTTTTACAGATTCGGGGAAGGTTGGCATCGATGTGGTAATGGAAAAAGGTAGTCTTTTTACAGGTAGGTTAGATTTTCAGTAACTCATTATTAGTATCTAGAATATCCCAATTATGGACCTATGAAAGCCAGCCTTCCAGGAGTTTATGTAGTTGAGGCAGGAAAACATACATAATTTAATGCAATAGAATGTGATAAGTGATATGGAAGGGACAGAATGGTCATTTGCACCTTGGGAAGAAAAGACTGGGACATAGTTTAATGGTGTGGTTTAACACGAGCTGATTTGTTTTGTTTTTGTTTAAGCCAGAGAGTGTGTACACTCTCTAGAGAGACGGAGAGAGAAGGAAAGTGAAAAGTCACCCCCCAAGGAAGATGTCCACGCCACAGTCCTTTCTCCTCTATCATTCTCTTGGATTTGGGGCATGCACACATGTGTGCCCAGTGTGATTTTCAAGCCTCTGGATTCAGAACTTGTACTGCAGTGGGTCATGTGAGACTCCCAATACCTTAACTACCATGCCACCTGCTGGTCCCAAGCTGATCTTTTAAAAGTAAGTCAGTGTTTGCCAGAGTAGAATGAGTGTTCCTGATAGAGAAAAAAGTGTGAAAAGCACCAAAATGAGAAACAACATGGATTTTAAGGAATTAAAAACAATCTGACAAAGCTGGAGCATAAAGTGCTGTCAGGAGTTTGGCAAGGACTAAAGGTCAAGAGTAAGGAAGCAGATGTGGTAGACTGAGTCATGACTCCCAAAGATATCCAGGTCCTAATTCTCAGAACTAGTGAATGTTAGTTTGTATGACAAAAGTGACTTTGGGACCAGTGGGTGGCATGATGGTTAAGGCTCTGGACAGTTCCATATATTCGACCATGGTTCGAGTCCCAAACTTGGTGGATTGCTTTCTCACCTAGTCTGTGTGTGTGTGTGTGTGTGTGTGTCTGGTCAAATTAAAAATAAATGAATAAATAAATAAAGATACATAAATAATTCTTTTTTAAAAATGTGACTTTGGAGCAATGTTAAAGATCCTGAGTTGAGGTGGCACGGAGCAGAGCAGGAGTGCGGGCAGTGTGGAACTGTGCATTAATAAAAGTATCCATGGAGAACAGTGAAAACTCAGTGGATGCAAAGCCCATTAAGAATTCAGAAACATGGGACCAGCAGTTAATGTAATGGCTATGTCGCTGGACTCCCACGTAGTCGACTGCGGTTCACGTCCCGGACCCGGTGGCTTAAAACTCATCCCGGGCGCGTGTGCGTGTGTGCCCAAGATCCCGAGAGGAGAATGGAGGAGAAGGGATTGCGGCATGGCCATCCCCCCTGGGGGGTGATTTCTCGCTTTCTGTCTCTCTGTCCCTCTCTGTCTGTCTTGCGAGCGCACACGCGAACCACTGTCGACTACGTGGGAGTCCAGCAACATAGCCATTACGCCAACCGCTGGTTCCCAAGAATTGTATTTTTATCACTAAAGAAATGGTTGCCTTTTTTCTTTTTTTATTTGTTTGTATGCCGAGTGAGAAAACAGTATGACTGGTGCTGTATTTCCCTCTTTCATTCAAATCTGATGCAGTGCTCTAGAAGGAACTTTGAATATTACTTCCATAGCAATAAAACCACTGTAAAGCTACCTCAAAGTCAGGTAGTTGAAAATGAATTTTAATTAGGAATAAGTGCAAATGAACAAATGGTATCATCATTACAAGAAGAAATAACTAAATTAACAGCTTTTGCAATTTTATGAAAGCAAATTTTAATGATGCTATTCTATGAATTTTCAAGACTATGACCAACTTGAACACCAAAGAAATGAATTTTAATGATATCCCCTCTGTCTTTGAAGGAAGGTGGTACATTCTGGCTTTTGTCAACTATAGATATGATGATGTGAAATAATGTATCCCAGAACTTGAGAATCTATGGGCATGGTCAAAGGCTTGAACCCTTATTTCAGAATTGATACATGAAAATGGGTCAACGGCATGTTTAGATAATTTATCTGAGTTCATAGTTTTGTGCTGCTTTTCCCAAGGATGTCTTTGTTGTAAAAAATCATGTTTGATATTGAAAAAGTAACTAAGTACTTTATTTGAGAGAGCATGAACAAACTGAGTTGTCTCTTTTAAGGCCAAAATGCAACATTCATAGAGGGACAGACTTACAACTATAAGGTGCTGAAGTACATCTGATTTGCCAGCATAAACATCTCTTTTGTTCCTGTGCAAATCAGTTGTGCATTGTATACCAGCAAAATACCTGAAGAGCTAATACGTAACATCCTCAAACCGTTTATTAACAGATGACAAGAAAAACTCTATAGGAAAATACTAAAATACAACTTCTGTAATATAAAGTAGAATGCCAAGAAATAACAGTAAGTCATCAGCTTGGTCGCTCTGTAATTTGAAGAGAATGGTTTGAGCCTGAGAGAGGAGGCACAGCCTGTTCAGTGAAGGCAGAGCCGTAGACCATGGCTTCAGAGAAAGGACCACCAGCTAGATTTCATTCTGTAAAGAGTAGGGAGTTATTCTAAGATTTTAAGCAGGATAAATATATTTGCAAATATATTTGGGTGAATAGAAAGATTACTCTAACAACAATGTTGAAGGTGAATGGAGATATGTGTATAAGATTAGAGTCAGGAAGAGCAGTTGGGAAGGAAATTGTAACTGTCTAGGCAAAAGATAGTAAAAGGCAGAAGTAAATACTTTTCTATGAGACTTTAGAGGAGGGGACATATATAAGAGATTTTGTAGATATAGGATTTCAGATTTTAGAGGTAAAGCACTTCTAGGTGATGATAAAGTCCAGGATGGGTCCATGATAGTTAACTATTGGGTCATCAGAGAATTCATGTCACATTTTTTGCATAGAAAAAAATACATCATGACTTTTCTGACACCCCTATAGTAGTATCTAATATAAGAGATAGCTATTGAGGATAAGGAGGTCAAGAACTTTGGAGACGGATGAGTTACACATATAAAGGGTGGAATTCCCTATAATGATGCCAGGAGTATAGATGCAGAAGATCAGGTCATTGAACAGACTCCTGAAGTCACCAATAAATCAGTAGGTAGAAACAAAAAGGAAGGAAATTTCATAAGTCTCAAAAGAATTGTTAGAAAGCAGCAATTGCCATTGAAGAGAATGCTAAGCCCTGAAACAAGTAAGGTATGGAAAATAAGCCACTTTCAGGGAAAAAAAGGGGAGATAGAGAAACCAAGTGAGAAAGAGAAACCAAGTGAGAAAGAGAAACAAAGAGAAAGAAAGAAGACAGGTCTATTAGGAAGAGGCAAAGTTCAGTTAGGAAAGGAGGTAAAACGAAAACCTTTAAAGATCCTGAAATATAGGGAAATTCATGTTTAATGATTTATGAGTTCCAGAGGACCCTACAGGAAGATTTAAAAATTAGCTAACAGAGCACAGTTTATCAGTAGTGTGTGTTACTGCAGCTGTGCCTGACTTAACTGTGACAATAAAAGCTAAATGAGAAAAATAAGAGAAAGTAAGTTTCAACCCAAAATTACAGGAAAAAAAAGTATCTAGCAATGGAAATTCAGGATAGTAAAAATGCAGAATAGACTGGAGAGGATAGAGACTTTTAAGAAGCTTTTCTTTTGAAAAGAGGAATGATATGGATGAGAGATACAGTTAAACCAATAAAGGTCCATGTCTTGTTTAAAAGCCTGATTAAGTTAATGGACTGGGAAGTTGATCTGCTGTATCTGAAAAGTCATTCCGTTGGCTGACTTCAAAAGGATGTAAGACTCCGGTAGTCCAAGCCATCATAGGAGAAATCCAAAGCATCTTGAGGAAAGCAACCCCTGGGCAGGTTTCCTCTCAGACATTTGTATAGATGACTAGTTATCTCCCCAGACATTCCATACTGCACTGTGGTTGCAGACAATGAAAAGCAGAAGTTTTTATGTGCTAGAATTGGAAAGAATTGGGACCTATGAATTGTCTGCCTAAAATGCATCTTCAAGTTAAAGAAAAGAGCCATCATGAAGAAAAATTTCACATAGCTCTTCTACAAGAGGGAGAAAATTATAGAGAGCAAAGATAAGTGATGATTTCTAATCTCATAACTAAGAACTAAAACCAACTCCATTACCAAACAAATTTGTTAATTTTGTGTCTTACCCATGCTTTTGATAGTTTGGTGGTTCCTTTTTTCCCCTTTAAAGTCCTAAGAATCAAAATTTCTGTATCTGCTGGTTTTCCTGGATACAACAAAAGAGGTGAGCTTGGGAGACTGAGACTGTATGTAATTACCTAACCACCATTCTATTGAAGAAGCCCAAGATCCAGAACTTGAAATGTGGTCAGCCATGTGGGAGGTCAGCGCCTTAACCACTACAGCACTTGCTGGTTCCCCCGTAAAAATATTTTAACAGTAGTATTTTCTTGTTGATATATTCTCTCACTTTGCCTATTTTCTTAAGAATGCTTGCATCCAGTGACTCATAGCCTAACTGATCGTCATTGTTTTAACCAAAACATTCTCACATTATGTCTTAGCAATAGCTGCAATTCTTGGCAGGCTTATTTTATTAATGTTTAATTAAGGATTGATGCCCTATGGGCAGTTCTCGTTATATAGAATCATTATTCTTGAAATTGTTAAGCATTACCTTTTTAAATTTTTTTTAACTTCTTAAAGGTAAAAAGATTGATACTGATAACCTGGGAAATTTTCTGGAAAATATGGGTATAGTGCTCACTGAAGATAAAAGCAAGACCCTACTGAATAATCTGCCAATTGATGGTAAGTATTAAAAAATAATCGGAAGGTTGAGCATATGAACTTTTGTGACTACTATTTCCCATCTAAGAAATGTTCTGTGTCCTCCACAACTACCACCTAAATGATTTTACAAAATTGAGAGCTGTTTCCATACCTGAATTTTATTTTTTAAAGTGAAAAAATAGGACCAGCAGGTGGTATGGAAGTTATGGCTGCTGGATCCCACATGACCAACTGTGCAGTTCAAGTCCTGGACCCACGGCTTGAAAAACTTGCTGGGCACCTATGTATGCACGCCCAAAATCCTAAAAGGAGAATGGAGAAGAGGAGATTGCAGTGTGACCATGCCCCCTGTGGGTGATTTCTCACTTCCCTGCTCTTTCTCTCTCTCTCTGGCAAACTCATGCACCCTATAACAAACTACAAAAAATAAAATAAACAAAAATATAGGTGGAAAAATATAGATTTCTAGAATAAAGCATTTAAAATCTATGTTTCTGCAACTATGCATGTTTTAAACTATTTTTAAATATCTGCATTGTTGCTGGAAATGAATTTTTCCCTGTCTTACAGGAAAAGGAAGGGTGTATACAAACAGATTAATGAAAGAACTGCAGAATCTTGAAGGTGAGTGAGAAGCACAATGAAAAGGCAGGTAAAACTGAGGTCCTCCAGCTTTGCTATTGTTTTCAAAACTCTTGTTTTTAGATGATTAATACTACTGTCCCAACAGTCTATTGATTCGATGTTTGTTCTTATGTATGTTAGGCACATTGCAATCACCAACATGGTTTAATTACAGTTGACCCAGAAATAGCAGTTCCCAAATAAAGTTGCACATCAGAATGACCAGGAAAAGTGTGTGTGTGTGTGTGTGTGTGTGTGTATGTTTGTGTGTGTGTGTGTACACTTTTTTTAAAAAAAAAAAATTAGATTACAGGGCCCTTTTCCAGTTGCATTAATCTTGAATTTCCAGACAGATGAGGAAACTTCAAAATGTTTGTGGAAAATGAAATTAAAGTACAGGTTAATTTTGAAAAAGGAACTCCATAAAGAGACAGATACCCTGAAAAAGAATCAAACAGAATTTCTGGCGGTGAAGAATACATTGCTAGAAATCAAAACTTCCCTTGAAAGTTTTAAGTATCCATGGAGAACAGTGAAAACTCAGTGGATGCAAAGCCCATTAAGAATTCAGAAACATGGGACCAGCAGTTAATGTAATGGCTATTTCGGGTTCACGTCCCGGACCCGGTGGCTTAAAACTCATCCCGGGCGCGTGTGCGTGTGTGCCCAAGATCCCGAGAGGAGAATGGAGGAGAAGGGATTGCGGCATGGCCATCCCCCCTGGGGGGTGATTTCTCGCTTTCTGTCTCTCTGTCCCTCTCTGTCTGTCTTGCGAGCGCACACGCGAACCACTGTCGACTACGTGGGAGTCCAGCAACATAGCCATTACGCCAACCGCTGGTTCCCAAGAATTGTATTTTTATCACTAAAGAAATGGTTGCCTTTTTTCTTTTTTTATTTGTTTGTATGCCGAGTGAGAAAACAGTATGACTGGGGCTGTATTTCCCTCTTTCATTCAAATCTGATGCAGTGCTCTAGAAGGAACTTTGAATATTACTTCCATAGCAATAAAACCACTGTAAAGCTACCTCAAAGTCAGGTAGTTGAAAATGAATTTTAATTAGGAATAAGTGCAAATGAACAAATGGTATCATCATTACAAGAAGAAATAACTAAATTAACAGCTTTTGCAATTTTATGAAAGCAAATTTTAATGATGCTATTCTATGAATTTTCAAGACTATGACCAACTTGAACACCAAAGAAATGAATTTTAATGATATCCCCTCTGTCTTTGAAGGAAGGTGGTACATTCTGGCTTTTGTCAACTATAGATATGATGATGTGAAATAATGTATCCCAGAACTTGAGAATCTATGGGCATGGTCAAAGGCTTGAACCCTTATTTCAGAATTGATACATGAAAATGGGTCAACGGCATGTTTAGATAATTTATCTGAGTTCATAGTTTTGTGCTGCTTTTCCCAAGGATGTCTTTGTTGTAAAAAATCATGTTTGATATTGAAAAAGTAACTAAGTACTTTATTTGAGAGAGCATGAACAAACTGAGTTGTCTCTTTTAAGGCCAAAATGCAACATTCATAGAGGGACAGACTTACAACTATAAGGTGCTGAAGTACATCTGATTTGCCAGCATAAACATCTCTTTTGTTCCTGTGCAAATCAGTTGTGCATTGTATACCAGCAAAATACCTGAAGAGCTAATACGTAACATCCTCAAACCGTTTATTAACAGATGACAAGAAAAACTCTATAGGAAAATACTAAAATACAACTTCTGTAATATAAAGTAGAATGCCAAGAAATAACAGTAAGTCATCAGCTTGGTCGCTCTGTAATTTGAAGAGAATGGTTTGAGCCTGAGAGAGGAGGCACAGCCTGTTCAGTGAAGGCAGAGCCGTAGACCATGGCTTCAGAGAAAGGACCACCAGCTAGATTTCATTCTGTAAAGAGTAGGGAGTTATTCTAAGATTTTAAGCAGGATAAATATATTTGCAAATATATTTGGGTGAATAGAAAGATTACTCTAACAACAATGTTGAAGGTGAATGGAGATATGTGTATAAGATTAGAGTCAGGAAGAGCAGTTGGGAAGGAAATTGTAACTGTCTAGGCAAAAGATAGTAAAAGGCAGAAGTAAATACTTTTCTATGAGACTTTAGAGGAGGGGACATATATAAGAGATTTTGTAGATATAGGATTTCAGATTTTAGAGGTAAAGCACTTCTAGGTGATGATAAAGTCCAGGATGGGTCCATGATAGTTAACTATTGGGTCATCAGAGAATTCATGTCACATTTTTTGCATAGAAAAAAATACATCATGACTTTTCTGACACCCCTATAGTAGTATCTAATATAAGAGATAGCTATTGAGGATAAGGAGGTCAAGAACTTTGGAGACGGATGAGTTACACATATAAAGGGTGGAATTCCCTATAATGATGCCAGGAGTATAGATGCAGAAGATCAGGTCATTGAACAGACTCCTGAAGTCACCAATAAATCAGTAGGTAGAAACAAAAAGGAAGGAAATTTCATAAGTCTCAAAAGAATTGTTAGAAAGCAGCAATTGCCATTGAAGAGAATGCTAAGCCCTGAAACAAGTAAGGTATGGAAAATAAGCCACTTTCAGGGAAAAAAAGGGGAGATAGAGAAACCAAGTGAGAAAGAGAAACCAAGTGAGAAAGAGAAACAAAGAGAAAGAAAGAAGACAGGTCTATTAGGAAGAGGCAAAGTTCAGTTAGGAAAGGAGGTAAAACGAAAACCTTTAAAGATCCTGAAATATAGGGAAATTCATGTTTAATGATTTATGAGTTCCAGAGGACCCTACAGGAAGATTTAAAAATTAGCTAACAGAGCACAGTTTATCAGTAGTGTGTGTTACTGCAGCTGTGCCTGACTTAACTGTGACAATAAAAGCTAAATGAGAAAAATAAGAGAAAGTAAGTTTCAACCCAAAATTACAGGAAAAAAAAGTATCTAGCAATGGAAATTCAGGATAGTAAAAATGCAGAATAGACTGGAGAGGATAGAGACTTTTAAGAAGCTTTTCTTTTGAAAAGAGGAATGATATGGATGAGAGATACAGTTAAACCAATAAAGGTCCATGTCTTGTTTAAAAGCCTGATTAAGTTAATGGACTGGGAAGTTGATCTGCTGTATCTGAAAAGTCATTCCGTTGGCTGACTTCAAAAGGATGTAAGACTCCGGTAGTCCAAGCCATCATAGGAGAAATCCAAAGCATCTTGAGGAAAGCAACCCCTGGGCAGGTTTCCTCTCAGACATTTGTATAGATGACTAGTTATCTCCCCAGACATTCCATACTGCACTGTGGTTGCAGACAATGAAAAGCAGAAGTTTTTATGTGCTAGAATTGGAAAGAATTGGGACCTATGAATTGTCTGCCTAAAATGCATCTTCAAGTTAAAGAAAAGAGCCATCATGAAGAAAAATTTCACATAGCTCTTCTACAAGAGGGAGAAAATTATAGAGAGCAAAGATAAGTGATGATTTCTAATCTCATAACTAAGAACTAAAACCAACTCCATTACCAAACAAATTTGTTAATTTTGTGTCTTACCCATGCTTTTGATAGTTTGGTGGTTCCTTTTTTCCCCTTTAAAGTCCTAAGAATCAAAATTTCTGTATCTGCTGGTTTTCCTGGATACAACAAAAGAGGTGAGCTTGGGAGACTGAGACTGTATGTAATTACCTAACCACCATTCTATTGAAGAAGCCCAAGATCCAGAACTTGAAATGTGGTCAGCCATGTGGGAGGTCAGCGCCTTAACCACTACAGCACTTGCTGGTTCCCCCGTAAAAATATTTTAACAGTAGTATTTTCTTGTTGATATATTCTCTCACTTTGCCTATTTTCTTAAGAATGCTTGCATCCAGTGACTCATAGCCTAACTGATCGTCATTGTTTTAACCAAAACATTCTCACATTATGTCTTAGCAATAGCTGCAATTCTTGGCAGGCTTATTTTATTAATGTTTAATTAAGGATTGATGCCCTATGGGCAGTTCTCGTTATATAGAATCATTATTCTTGAAATTGTTAAGCATTACCTTTTTAAATTTTTTTTAACTTCTTAAAGGTAAAAAGATTGATACTGATAACCTGGGAAATTTTCTGGAAAATATGGGTATAGTGCTCACTGAAGATAAAAGCAAGACCCTACTGAATAATCTGCCAATTGATGGTAAGTATTAAAAAATAATCGGAAGGTTGAGCATATGAACTTTTGTGACTACTATTTCCCATCTAAGAAATGTTCTGTGTCCTCCACAACTACCACCTAAATGATTTTACAAAATTGAGAGCTGTTTCCATACCTGAATTTTATTTTTTAAAGTGAAAAAATAGGACCAGCAGGTGGTATGGAAGTTATGGCTGCTGGATCCCACATGACCAACTGTGCAGTTCAAGTCCTGGACCCACGGCTTGAAAAACTTGCTGGGCACCTATGTATGCACGCCCAAAATCCTAAAAGGAGAATGGAGAAGAGGAGATTGCAGTGTGACCATGCCCCCTGTGGGTGATTTCTCACTTCCCTGCTCTTTCTCTCTCTCTCTGGCAAACTCATGCACCCTATAACAAACTACAAAAAATAAAATAAACAAAAATATAGGTGGAAAAATATAGATTTCTAGAATAAAGCATTTAAAATCTATGTTTCTGCAACTATGCATGTTTTAAACTATTTTTAAATATCTGCATTGTTGCTGGAAATGAATTTTTCCCTGTCTTACAGGAAAAGGAAGGGTGTATACAAACAGATTAATGAAAGAACTGCAGAATCTTGAAGGTGAGTGAGAAGCACAATGAAAAGGCAGGTAAAACTGAGGTCCTCCAGCTTTGCTATTGTTTTCAAAACTCTTGTTTTTAGATGATTAATACTACTGTCCCAACAGTCTATTGATTCGATGTTTGTTCTTATGTATGTTAGGCACATTGCAATCACCAACATGGTTTAATTACAGTTGACCCAGAAATAGCAGTTCCCAAATAAAGTTGCACATCAGAATGACCAGGAAAAGTGTGTGTGTGTGTGTGTGTGTGTGTGTATGTTTGTGTGTGTGTGTGTACACTTTTTTTAAAAAAAAAAAATTAGATTACAGGGCCCTTTTCCAGTTGCATTAATCTTGAATTTCCAGACAGATGAGGAAACTTCAAAATGTTTGTGGAAAATGAAATTAAAGTACAGGTTAATTTTGAAAAAGGAACTCCATAAAGAGACAGATACCCTGAAAAAGAATCAAACAGAATTTCTGGCGGTGAAGAATACATTGCTAGAAATCAAAACTTCCCTTGAAAGTTTTAACAGCATATTAGACCATGCAAAAGGAAGAATCTCTGACAGTCCAAGCAACTGAGAAGAATGGAAAAATAACCATTTTAAATGAAGACAATATTTGAGAAATCCTGAACACCATTAAGTGGCTGAATATTCGTATAATAGATATTCTAGAAGATAAAGAAATGGATAAAGGCTTAGAAAATTTTTCTCAGGGCCGGCAGGTGGCATGGTGATTAAGATGCTAGACTCCCACATGACTGACCATGGTTCAAGTCCCAGACCTGAAGGCTTCCTTTCTCATTTTCCATTTCTTCCTGTTTATCTGAGATTGTTCTTGTCTTCTCTTCCAATATGAAAGATAATCTTGCTGGGCATAGTATTCTTGGTTGAAATTGTTTTTCACTCAACCCTGTGAATATAGTTTCCCATTCTTTCCTTGCTCGCATTATTTCCAATTGAGAGGTCCACTGTTAGCCTGATGGGGTATCCTTTGTAGGTAACTTGTCATTTCTCTCTTGCCAATCTGAGTACCTTGTCTTTGTCTATGGTTTTTGTCAGTCTGGCTATAATGTGCCTTGGAGAAGATCTTCTTGGGTTGATTCTATTTGGGGTCTTATGTATTTCTTGGGTCTGGATCTTTGAATGCCTCTCTAGGTTTGAAAAGTTTTCTTGCAGGATTTTATGGAATAGATTATCAATGCCCTTATTAGCTCACCTTCTGGGACACCAGTTATCCAGATGTTTGGATGTTTGATGGTATCTAGTATGTCTTGTTTATTATTCTCATTTTGGGGGACTGTTTTCTCAGTCTTTGTGGTGGATTTTTTTTTCTACATCTGAGATTCAATCTTCTGTATGATCTCATCTGCTTTTAATACTTTGAAGGGAGGTTTTGATTTTCTGTATTACAGCCTTCATCTCAGTTCTGTTTGATTCTTTTTTATGATGTATATTTCCTCTTTCAGATCATGCAAGAACTTCCTCACCTCCTGGAACTCCTCGGCTCTATTCTCCTGCCTCTTCTGGAGTTCATTGTCTTTCTTCTCTTGTGTCTCTGTTAACCTTGTCACTATGAGTATTCTAAATTCTTTATCAGATATTTCCATGATTTCCATTGAACTGTCTATGGATGAAGAGCAGTTATTCTTTTCCCTTGGGGCAGGGGAGGAGTTATTATCTTGGTTTCTCATATTTCTTGTGCCTTTGCAGTGATTTCTAGTCATCTGATGGGTCATACACTTCTTCCTAATTTTTAAAAGCAAAAATAAAGAGCGTACTGTGCAAAATCACTAGTTCTCAGTAGCAATGAAGGAGTCTTCTTCTGAAGTCCTGCCCCTTGCCTCTCCTAGAGAGAAGGGGAAAAGGGGATTATTAGCAAGATAAAGGAGGATCTTAAAGCCAAGAGAATACTTTACCTTAAAAAAAAATTAAAGGAAAAATTACAAAAAAAATGAGAAGAGAAAGAGAGGCAGACAGAGACAGAGACAGAGAAGGATAGAGGGGCACCCTACCACTTGAGACTGGGAGCTGGAGGCTGAATTATCAGTAGGAAATGTTCATTTCTCTTATTCCCTGAAATCACTAGTTAGCAGCAATGGAGTAGTCTTCCCATTTGTCTTTCTGTATGTATCTCTCTCTGATCAAAATAAAATAAATAAATAATAACAAATAAATAAATGTTTTTTTTAATCCCATGATATATTACCTGAAAACTTTCCAAATTTGAGTGGCATATGGAACTCCAAATCCAGGAAGTACAAAGACCATCAAATAGATTTAACATCAGAAGATCCTCTCCAATGCATGTCATAGCCAAACTGGCAAAAATCAAAAACAAAGACAGCCTTGCCCTCTGCTGACAGGCTGCCTCACCACACAACATGCCCTGCTGCAGCCCCAAGAAATCCTCCAGTTACCCGCAGTCCTTTGCCAGATGAGGCTTGTGTCCAGGCACTGGCTCCTCATCTCACTCAGGCTTATGCCAAAAATGTAAAATTTGGTACGGATGCTCAAGCCTCAATGCTTCAAGAGATATCCCTTTTAGCCAGTACTGTAGCCATTACAACAGGGCCAGAGAGAAGAACTATAATTGTTGAACAAAGATGAGGAAGTCCCAAAGTAACAAAAGATGGTGTGACTGTTGCAAAATCAATTGACTTAAAGGATAAATATAAAAATATTGGAGCTAAACTTGTTCAAGATGTTACCAGTAATACAAACAAAGAGGCTAGAGATGGTACCACCACTGCTACTGTAACTGGCACGCTCTAATGCCAAGGAAGGCTTTCAGAGGATTAGTAAAGGTGCTAATCCAGTGGAAACAAGGAAAGGTGTGATGTTAGCCGTAGATGCTGTTTATTGTTGAATTTAAGAAGCTGTCTAAACCTATGAGGAGGAATCCAGAAGAAATTGCTACAATTTCTGCAAATGGAGACAAAGAAATTAGTAACATTATTTCTGATGCAGTGAAAAAGGTTGGAAGACAGGGTTTCATCACAGTAAAGAATGGAAAAACACTGAATGATGAATTCTAAATTATTGATGGCATGAAGTTTTATTAAGGCTATATTTCTCCACACTTTATTAATACGTCAAAAGGTCAGAAATGTGAGTTCCAGGATGCCTATGTTCTATTGAGGGAAAAGAAAATTTCTAGTGTCCAGTCCATTGTACCTGCTCTTTAAGTTGCCAGTGTTCACCGTAAGCCCTTAGTTGTAATTGCTGAAAATATTGATGGGGAAGCACTAAGTACACTAATTTTGAATAGGCTAAAAGTTGGTCTTCAGGGTATAGCAATCAAAGCTCCAGATTTTAGCAATAATAGAAGGAACCAGCTTAAACACATGGCTATTGCTATAGGTGGTATAGCGTTTGGAGGAGAGGGGGTTGACCCTAAATATTGAGGATGTTTACCCTCTTAGGAAAAGTTGGAGAGGTCAATGTGGCTCAAATTGAAAATGTATTCAAGAAATCATTAAGAAGTTATATGTCACAACTAGTGAATATGAAAAGGAAAAACTGAATGAACATCTGTCAAAACTTTCAGATGAAGTAGCTGTGCTGAAGGTTGGTGGGACCAGTGATGTCAAAGAATGAAAAGTCTGACTCCAGCTATTGAAGATCAAAACATTGATATAGAAAATATTAAAAGAACACTCAAAATTCCTGCAATGACCATTGTTAAGTGTGAGTGTTAAAGGATCTTTAATAGTTGAGAAAATTATGCAAAGTTCTTCAGAAGTTGGTTATGATGCCATGCTTGGAGATTTTGTGAATATGGTAGAAAAAGGAATTATTGACCAAAAGGGTTTTTAGAGCTGATTTATTGGATGCTGCTTGAGTGGCTTTTATGTTAAGTACTGTTGAAGTTGTAGTCACAAATCCCTAACGAAGAGAAGGAACCTGGAATGAGTAGAATGGGTGGAATGGGAGGTGCATGTTATAATTTTTAGAATAGAGCTTTACCATTATTCGTGAACTGTGGCAGGAAGCTCAAGGCAGTGCTCCTCACCAGATAACTTCAGAGAAGTCAGTTGAATAAAATAAGAGTGAAGAAATGACTGGCTGATATTTAAGAAAAATCACTATAACCATCAGTTACTGGTTTCAGCTGACAATATATAATAGTTTACTGCTGTCATTGTCCATGCTTACAGATAACTTATCTTGCATTTTTGAATAAAAAGACATTTGTACATTCCTGATACTGGGTGCAAGAGCCATGTAACAGTCAGTGTACTGCTTTCATCTTAAATCACTTGGGCATTTTTACTACTATTCTGTTAAAATCAGGATTTTAGTGCTTGCCATCACCAGATGAGAAGTTAAGAAGCAGCCTTTCTGTGGATACTAAGAATAATTGTGTACTGGGGACCAGCTGGTGGCTTGGTGGCTAAGGCGCTGGACACTTCCACTTAGCTGACCACAATTCAAGTCCTGGACCTGGTGGCTTGCTTTCTCACTTTCCCTCTCTCTCTCTGTCTCTTTCTGTGCCTCTCTCTCTCTCTGGTCAAATTAACATAAAATGGATGAATAAATAAAATAATTCTTTTAAAAAAAGAATAATTGTGTACAAACTAGAGAACTATCCAATTTTGTGACAACTTTTGTGTAATAAAAATTTGTTTAAAGTTAAAAAAAAGACAAAGACCATATTCAAAAATGGCAAGAGAGAGATGCCAAGTTACTTAGAAAAGTTATATCAGACCTCTCAACTGAAACAATACAGAAAAGGAAAGAATGGGAAGATATAGTTAAGATCTGAAAGAAAAACAGTTTCAGCCAATACTATACTGAGAAAGATTATCCTTTCTCCTGGGAAGGAGAAATAAAATCATTCCCAGATGAACAAAAATTGAAATAATTCACCAGAAGTAGACCAACTCTTCAGGAAACACTTAAGAGAATACTGTACCTGGAAAACTAAAGGGAGATAAATAGAAGTAAGAGGACATAAAACAAGTAGGGGGAATAAAGTAACTAAATGACAGGGATAAGTCCACACATTGCTGATAACATTGAATGTTAATGGATTAAATTCTCCAACTGAAAGACACGGATTAGCTCAATGGATAAAAATACAGGAATCCTCTATATGTTGCTTGTAAAAAACACACCTCATTGACAAAGATATACACAAATGAAAGTGAAGGGCTGGAAGAAGTCATTTCATGCCCACAGAAACTGAAAAATAGGCAGGAGTCACCTGCCTAGAAAGACTTTAGGATAAAAAGAGACAAAGATTACCCATTATTTCTTTACCTAGGAACTTGTCTAAGATAAAAATTTTCACCAGATTCTCTCCCCTAGTATCTTCAGCACCTGCTCACTGTTTTCCCCATCTTTGTCCTTCCCATGTTCACTAATTCTTACTGCCCTGTGCCTACTCCCATTTCACTTTTGATGCTCCTAGTTTTGTTAAGTCTTACCCTGTAATTTTGCTTTTAGTTTTGATACCTCTTTATGAATTAACAATAAAAAGGATGTATGGTTTTTAACAGATGTCTCCAAAATAGTCTCTTGTTATGCAGGGAGAACAGTTCTTTTCATTCATTTATGAGTTCTTCCCTAACTGCAAAGGCAGTGTCATTTAGTTGAGTAGCACCCAAGAGGAGCTTTGAGTTAGAAGTTTATGTTTTTATGCCCCACATTAGAGTGTTGTGTATGGCTGTTCAACACAAATGTAACAGTGTATTTTTGTAAATGGGAGTTGGTATGTCAAATGCATCCTCTAGAAAATAGTGTCATCGTCTTAAGATTTGTTTTCTGAAGTTGATACTGTGGGTTATTTTTGTGAACAGTCTGATGTTTGGGCCTTTTCCTCTCAAAATAAAGAAGTCCTTATTAAACAAGGAATTTGGAGAAAAAAGAGAGAGATAGACAAAGAAGGACACTACATAGTTCTGAAAGGATTAATTTACCAAGAAGATAATAACAATCATAAATATTTATACACTCAACACCAGGGCACCCAGATACATAAAAAAGTCCCCAGGTAAAGTTCCCATATAAGGGGCCAACAGATGACATAGGGGTTAAGGCAGCTGGGTCCCACGTGCCCAACTGCACAGTTTGCGTCCTGGACCCAGTGACTTGAAAATCACACAAGGCAAATGTGCATATGTGACCAAAGTCCCAAGAGGAAAATAGAAGGGAAGGGATTGTGATGTGGCCATCCCCCCTTGGGCAGGGGGAGGTTCTTACTCTCTTCTTTTTCTCTCTCCAGTGAATACATGTACCTATAGCTAACAACAGCAATGACAGAAAGTTCCCAAATAAAGTCATGCATCTCCAGGAATTCATTTTTTAAAATTCAGGTTATAAGACTGACTTATAGAATACAGGTTATTCAGACTTCAAAATGTTTGTGGAAAATGAAATTAAAGTACAAGTTTATTTTGGTGCAAAAAATTTTGAAATCCATGCATCATTTATTCATTGTTTGTATTTTTCATGAGCTTTTCAAAGACCCCTCATAATAATTAGAAATGTATGTCATTAAAATGTATGATGGAATAAATCCATGGAATTTATTGATTTATCTATTTTTCTCTAATAATTTGGCAAACTTCAAATCCTATTGTGCAGACATGTTTATAAAAATTGATTTTGGTCTTTGCCATGACTTCCTAGAAACCCCTAATTCCTTACTGCCTTTTCTTCAAAAGCCGCCTGCAAGTCATAACTGAATCCCACAGATCAGGTTTTAAGCATTTCTGACTTAGGTCAGCAGGTGGCATGGTGGTTAAGGCACCTGGATCCCACAAAGCCGACTGTACAGTTTGAGTCCCGGACCCGTGGTTTTAAAAACCAGCTGGGCAGAGCTGGCAGGTGGCGTGAGTAAAGGTGCTGGACTCCCAATTGACCGACCAGGGTTAGGTCTGGACCTGGTGGCTTGCTTTCCCACTTTCCCTCACTGTCTTTTCTCGTCAAAGTAAAATAATAATAATAATAAATAAAGATTAAAAAAAAGAATTTCTGACTTAAACAACAAAACCATGTTTATTTGAAGGATATAGTTGTTCTTAGCTCTTTATTCTCTACATAGTAGCAGTGCCTAGGCATGAGCTAAAATGAACAACTGCTCATATCATTACAAATATCTCTCATATCCATCCCCCTCTTTTCTAAGGGACAAAAGTGTCTTCGGATAAAGTGGAAACTTTCATTAAAAACATGGGAATAGATCTCAAGCAGAAAGACATCCAGACACTGAAGGACCACCTACCAGTTGATGGTGAGTTTTGAAAATCAATATATCCCTTAGTATAACTTTGGGCATAAATCTAGCAGGGCTAGCATTATTATATAGGATGTATATGAAAGAAAGAAAAAGAAGAAGACAGGCCTTTACCATAGCTACTAAACTAAGCCCAGTGGCTACCACTCAGTAAGAATCGCCAAAAATGTTGCCTACTTAAATGGTAATTGTCACCTCTTCAAATAACGCCACACACAGGAAATGTCAAGGTCTACTAAAAACAATCAAGATATCAATCTTTTTGTCCTTATTGCTAATCTAGCATTAAATAGTAGTGAACCAGCACTGCATGGTTCTGACATGTGCAAGAAACCATTCTAAGTAATTTATGTATATTAACATGTCATCTTCCAAACAGCTCTGTCTAGTTTTATTACCATTTTACATATAAGGTAACTAAGACACAGAGAGGTCAAGTAGCTCGCCCAAAGTCAGAGAACTTGTAAGTGGTGAAGCCAGGAAAAGAATTCAAGCAATTTCTTAACTACTATGCCACAGTGCCATACACTGCTAGAATTAACAAATTTAAGGAGATACATAGTTATGTTATAAAAACAATGAATTAAACTTGGTGTATATTAGATGGTATCATACTAGTGGAACTAGAAAAATTTATCAGGAAATTTGAAGCCTCTGAAGGAAGTAATAAATACAAAATATTAACCTAAGTCAGTGAACACGCATTTTTCTAAATCAGCAGTACCTTCCATTCTCTCATACCATAAACCTTAATGTCTGTGATGTATTAGTCACTTTCCTAGAATCTTAGGACCTTTGCCTTAATTAGAGGTAAGCAAATTTTCCAAAAATGAGTTTTTCCTTCGTTTTCAAACACTTTTCATAGCTATTTTAATCTGCTAGTGCAATAAATGTAGATACTTATTATTGCCCTGTTTTCCAAGTATCTTGGAACATTAGCAGTACAATGATTTAAAGTGGGAGACTACTAACATAGTTCTTGTAAGCGTGTACATCTGTGTTATAATCCGAGATAGATAGAAAATCATTTTAGGGCAAAACAGGACACAGTGACATACAAAGTAAAAGACATATGACATCCGTCATTTACAAGAAGACTATCCAAAGAAAGGTTCCTCCTTATCCTATTTAAAAGTTCTAATAGTCAGGGCCTGTAGGTGGCATGGTGGTTAAAGCACTGGACTCCCACATGACCAATCTCAGTTTAAGTCCCGGAACTGACAGCTTACTTTCTCACTTTCCCTCTTTCTATCACTCTCTGGTCAAATTAACAGATAATAATGATAAATCAAATCTAATTAATTAATTCTTAAAATAAATTTTAACAGTCATAGTAATAACGATATTATAAAACTATAAAAGAATATTAATAAAAGTCATAATTTTAAAAGACATTTAGAAAGAACAAGCAAGGATAAATTCTGCACCTAACTGGACTGTATATTGGTTTTAAAACTAATTCGTCCTTGGAGACCAGCAGTTAGTGTACTAGCTATGTCGCTGGGCTCCCATGTAGTCAACTCTGGTTCAAGTCCCGGATCCAGTGGTTTATACACACTGGGCACGTGTGCATGCATGCCTAAGATCCCAAGAGGAGAATGGAGATGGCGTGGCCATCCCTCCTGGGGGTGATTTCTCGCTTTCTGTCTTTCTGTCTCTGTCTCTCTCTATCTTTCTGGTGCGTGCACACAACCTATAGCAAAAACCTCTTCAAAAACAAACAAACAAAAAAACTAATTTATTCTTTGGCCTGCCAGTGGCTTGGTGATTAAGGCAACTGAATCCCACGTGGTCAACTGTAAGGTTCAAGCCCCAGACCTGGTAGCTTGAAAAACATGCCGGGCTGGGCATGCGTGCATGTGTGTATGCATTTTCAAAATCACAAAAGGAAAAATGTAGGAGAGGGGATTGTCATGTGATCATCCTCAGGGCAAGGAGTGCTTTCTCATTTTCCCTGTCTGTCTCTCTCCAGCAAGCACACATAGCCTCTGGCAAATTAAAAAAAAAAAAAAAAAAAAGCTAACTGATTCTGATTGCATTTTGCTTAACAATTATTTAGTAAACAAATATGGAGCATCACTCTTATGAAAGCCACCATTGAATGAATGCATAGATGATAGCAAGAATACAAAGCAATTCTGGGTATCTCACTCTCGGGGCACTTACAGTCTTGAGAGTATTACACACAGAATACCGCAAACATGTGTAAGCAGTGATAATTGGCACCCTTGACCAATTACAAGTAAAAAATGAGGATAGATGTGAGCAGGTAAAGGTTCCAAACTGAATCTTACCAATTAGAGTAATAACATCTTTTAACTACTATCTTCACATCCCAATCCAAGTTTCTCAAGCTTGTCATTTCACACACTGTTTAAATGTATCCATTGATTTTCAGTGACTTCAGACTTTAATTTAGAAATACTGACAAAAGAAAGAAGTGTCTGGTCTATAAAATTTTTTTCAATTGAAAATGGTCACTGCAAAGCCAAAGTATGGTCATAAGTGGGCTTTTACTGAATGTATCAACATGAAGGTCATCATGTTAGCAACCTAAGAGCAGCTTTACATGCCTGCCAACACTCTGATCTTTTAGAGGCTCACTTGGTGCCAAAATGATCATAAACCTAAAGGTAAAGTCAGCTTTGACAAAATGGAATTACCATTTTTAAATAAAAACTTTTAATTCTAAAAAATAATGTCCAAACAACCCTGAAAATGCTGACTTAACAGATAATGGGTTGTCCTGAAGGAAAGGCGAGTACATTACTTTTACATCATGCTTTAATGGGTTTTGATAGTTTATGTTGTAGATAACAGCTGTATTAATTAAATCGGTGAGTATCTGATGTAGAAAAATAATAAACTTCTAGGGAAATGTTTTGAATGATTGCATTTTTAATTTCTATTTCACAGATTAAGGATGTTATATAATTTGTTTCATGCTTTTTTATCTTAAAGGTAATAGGAAAATTGATTTGAATGTGTTGATGGATGAAGTTAAAAATGTTACAGGTGAGTGGGATGTTACAATGAATATTATATTGTGTGACCTTGAAGTTTTATATGGAGCTATGTTTATAACACAATAGTATTTCTTCCATTCATTCATTTAACAACTATTTATGAAGTATTTACTACATGCCAGACATTGTTTTAGACACTTAGGTTACATCAGGGAACAGAATAAAGGTTACTGCCTCATGGAGTTTACATTCTAGCAGGAGAAACAAGCAGTAGACAATAAACATAAAAGTAAGTACATTGTAGAGTATATTAGAAGTGGTAAATCCTACCCAAAACATGGAAAGTAGCATCAAGTAACAGAGATTGGGAAAGCAGGGCATGTTGGGTAAGTTATGTTTTTAAATAGGTTATTCAGGCCTCCTTAAGGAGGTAATATTTGTACAAATACTGGAGGGTTTGGGCCACATGGGCATTTCTAGACAAAGAGTATTCAGGGAGGGCACAAGACAAAGGCCCAAAGGCAGGAGCATGCCTAAGGTATTCCAAAAAAATGGCAAAGAGGTCAATGTAGCTGAAGATGAGTAACTAAGGAAAAATAGGAGCTGAAGAGAGAGAGAGATCATGGGTCCAAGAACAGTCAGGACCTTGAAAGCTCTACAAGGACTTGGGCTTATTTTCTGAGATAAATGGAAAGCCCTTGTAGAGCAGAGGCATGATGTGATCTGACCTGTGTTCTAATCAGTCTGTAGAGTCTTTGTTGAGAATAGTCTGGGGGAGTGGAAGGAAGGAATCAACAGTAGAAACAGAAACTACTGAGGAAGCCTTTCAGGTAACCAGTGTTAGAGGTGATATCAATACATACCAGGGGGCCAGCAGGTGGTGTGGTGGTTAAGGTATTGGACACTCATATGGCCAACCATGGGTCAAGCCCCAGGCCTGGCAGCTTAAAAATCATGCCAGCGCATGTGCTTGAAGGAAGAGAATGGATTATGACATGGCCATCCCTCCTGGTGGTGATTTCTCACTTTCCCTCTCTCTGTTTCTCTGGTGAATACATGAACCCTATGGCAAAAACCTAAAACAAACAAACAAAACACCACACATACACACACACATATACACACACACACACGCGCGCACACACAAATTTTTTAAAAATGTTTTAATATTAAAGAATCTTAAAGGAAATGAAAAGGAGTAATCAGTGATGTAGGTGGAAAACCAAGAGAATGTGGTGTCCTAAAAGCCAAATAAAGGATGTTAAATTAGGTTGACTACCCCAGGAAACAAACCTTGAGACAAGGATTACTCATGCTGGTTGTTTACTTGGGAGGGGAGCCTAGGAAAGGCAGGTAGGAATTAGAAAGGTGACACATGGATGAAGGTAGCCAGTAATGTGTTTATCAAGCAAGTTATACTGAAGGTAACTGGAGCGTAATACCATTATACGATATCCAGGAAATGATATAGCCTCAGGAAAGGGTGGTAGAATTTTTTTTTTTATATCAACTCATTTTGGTCACTAGTTGAGAACTGCTTAGTGGGGTGGAAAGGAATAGTACTCTGCTGGCACTTCCAGCCATCTGACCACTGGCAGAGTGAACTCTGGGAGCTGGAGAAATCCCTTGGGCAAGAAATACTAGTAATTGAAAGTGGGTCAAAGGGGGCATGAGCAGAGCATTTACAGCATCTGCTTATAGGTACAAGACAACAGGACAAATCAAACAAACAAAACACCACACATACACACACACATATACACACACACACACGCGCGCACACACAAATTTTTTAAAAATGTTTTAATATTAAAGAATCTTAAAGGAAATGAAAAGGAGTAATCAGTGATGTAGGTGGAAAACCAAGAGAATGTGGTGTCCTAAAAGCCAAATAAAGGATGTTAAATTAGGTTGACTACCCCAGGAAACAAACCTTGAGACAAGGATTACTCATGCTGGTTGTTTACTTGGGAGGGGAGCCTAGGAAAGGCAGGTAGGAATTAGAAAGGTGACACATGGATGAAGGTAGCCAGTAATGTGTTTATCAAGCAAGTTATACTGAAGGTAACTGGAGCGTAATACCATTATACGATATCCAGGAAATGATATAGCCTCAGGAAAGGGTGGTAGAATTTTTTTTTTTATATCAACTCATTTTGGTCACTAGTTGAGAACTGCTTAGTGGGGTGGAAAGGAATAGTACTCTGCTGGCACTTCCAGCCATCTGACCACTGGCAGAGTGAACTCTGGGAGCTGGAGAAATCCCTTGGGCAAGAAATACTAGTAATTGAAAGTGGGTCAAAGGGGGCATGAGCAGAGCATTTACAGCATCTGCTTATAGGTACAAGACAACAGGACAAATCAATAGTCAAATGCTGCCAATTGGTCAAATAAGAAGTGAGAACTGCCATTGTATGTAGCCACATGGGAGTCACTGGTGATATCAAAAAGAGAAATCCCAGGGCCAGCAGGTGGCATGGTGGTTAAGGCCACATGACTGACCACATAGTTCAAGTGCTGGACCTGATGGCTTGCTTTCTCACTTTCCCTCTCTCTCTCTGTCTCTTTCTGGTCAAATAAAAAAATAGTAGTAATGATGAATACAGTTAAATAAAGTAATTCTTAAAAAAAAGAAAAAAAGAATGGGAGGATAGGATGTAGAAAGTATGTGAATGTATGAATTTTTCTGCAAAATGGAGCAAAGAAATGGAATGAGTTAAATGGTGAAACTGGTGTCTTCCTTTTTAATTAAAGAGAGTAAAAAAATGTAGTATTAAATGGAAGGAGAAGAAGCAGTGGTTTGAAAAGAGAGACGTTATCATCAAGAAGAGTGGAAAGTTAACAGACTAGCAAGTTTTAGTATAATTGTCCAACAGAGCCAGCCAGGGATTTAACTAGGAATAGGGTTTTGTCAAATGTGTGTACTGAAACCAAGAATAGAGCAATTTAAATCCTATCTTCTGCAAGATTAAAAAAAAAAAAAAAGTTTAATTAATTAATTTATTTTAATTTCATTTATTATTATTTTATTTGTTATAGGCATGTGTGCTTATCAGAGACAGATGAGAGAGAAAGAGAGAGTAAGAAAGCAGGCCCCAGGTCTAGGATTTGAACTGTGGTCAGCTATGGGATTCCAGTATCTTAACCATTGCACCACCTGCTGGCCACTCTTCTGAAAGATTTAAATGTGCTCACTATGTTCTTTGCTATCATTGCTTCTAACTTTCTATTCCTTTTTGGGTTCAGTTTCATTCTTCATACTTTCTATTCATCTTAGTTATTTCAAAAAAGGGTCAATTTTTGCCTAAATAAATCTTTACACTCATTCTTTAATCATAATTTGACTGAATGTGAACTTGTAGATTGTTGTTTTTCCTTAGAACTCTGAAATATGATGCAAATGTATCCCTAAAGAGGATGTAATGAAGCTAGGAAAAAAAAAAAAAAAAAAGAACAACTAAATTCAGCTACTGCTATCGGAGGAACTTCATCATCCTGCCTTTCAGACTCTCTCTAGCAGTCCCCTATTGGTAGAATTTAAAATGAGACCAGCTGGCAAAACAGAAATGTGGTTTAGAGTCCCAGCCTCAGCACAAGTGTAGATGGGTAGAACTGGAGCTTCGAGACATTAAGTAGCTAGAAGAGGATCCTTTCAACTACTCCACTACATGCTCTTCTGTATACATTTGAACTTAACTTTCACATAACAACAAAACAACTCTGTGTCTCTATCTAACAAGATATGACTATCCTTCATACAAATGAAAATAGCTTGACCTGCTCCCCACAATGAGGAGAAAGTTCCAACTTTCGATCTCTGGGAGGCAATAATACTATCTCTGGGCTATGTTAATTACTTCTCAAATTTAGTTACAGTACCATCTGAATATTCTGTTACCTGAAGACTAAATTGTAGGGACCAGAAGGTGGCGTGGTGGTTAAAGCACTGGATGCTCACATGGCTGACCACAGTTTGAGTCCTAGACCTAGTGACTTGCTTCCTCACTTTTCCCTGTCCCTCTCTGGTGAGCATATGTGCTCTGTAGCAAACTGAAAAATAATAATAATGGTAAATAAAATTAAATCATTCTTTTCTTTAAAAAAAGACTGAATTATAAAGTTAACCTATAACAAATCTTGTATTTAAATTTAAGATTAAAAATTTTAAAAATTAACTAATTAAAAATAGAGGGCCAGCCCCATAGACCAGTGTCTAAGGGAAACCAGATCCCATGTGGCTGGCTGAATGGTTTGAATCTTTTTTTTTTTTTTGAGAGGTTTTCGCTCTAGGGCTCGTGCACTCGCCAGACAGACAGAGAGAGACATAGAGACAGAAAGCAAGAAATCACCCCCCAGGGGGGATGGTCACGCCGCAATCCCTTTTCCTCCACTATCCTCCCGGGATCTTGGGCACGCACGCACATGCTCCTGGCGTGAGTTTTAAGCCACCGGGTCCGGGACACAAACCGCGGTCGACTACGTGGGAGTCCAGCGACATAGCCATTATGCTAACTGCTGGTTCCCAATGGTTTGAATCTTGACCCCAGGGACTTGAAAAACATGCTGGGCCTGTGTGCATACATGCCCAAAATCCTGACAGAATGGAGAAATAGAGAAGAGATTACAACATGACCACTGGGAATTGCTTTCTCCCTCTCCCTCTCTTTCTCTGTCTTTGGCTAACACACGTACCCTAATTAAGCCTTTCTCTCTCTTTCTATATATATAGCTATTAAAATATTGCATCATTCTCATGTTCTCACTTGAGGCTGTTTTTCCTTTTTTTTCTAAAGGAGAAAAGATTCATGCTGGGGACCTGAAAAATGTTCTGAAAGACATGGGAATAAAGATCACAAATAAGGAATACAAAAAGTTGCTGAAAAATCTGCCAATTTCTGGTATTTAAGTGTGTTCTGTGTCGCTGATATCTAAAAATGTATTGATCCAACAAACAACTGAAAACTTGCTGTTTATGACACTAAACCCTGGGAGAACAGGGCCCAGGCCTATTTCCTAAATCCCTGCTCTTAAAGAATACTTCAGAGAAAGTTGGCTTTAAGGTTTTGTGACATTTTATGTTAACCAAATTTGGCAAGGAAGAAAGGTCTCGTCTTAGCATTTCTAAAAATCCTGCCCTTCACATTTAGTCTAGGAAACAGAGAACTCTGTAGTCAGAAGTCCCATCTTAGGAGAAACACATTATCATGTCCCTTTAAGAGAAATATAAGGCATAAAGTATAAGCTAAAGGAAGATGAAAAGGCAGGAGGAGAAGAAAAGTGAAGGGAGAAAAGACGAAGCTGTATGAGAGAGGAGAAAGCCAGGAAAGAAAAAGCTATGTGTTTCAACAGTATAGGGGCCAGTGCTGTGAACAGTTCTGTATCCTATCTGTCAGATAGGTTCATTAAACTGAGTTTTCTAAGTATATCTCATTTCACTGAGAACGAAGTTTTTAGATTTTTTTCTTTCTATAAGTATACACTTTAATTTTTATAAATCTTTAAAAACATAATTAATTGTGTTTTATCCTACAGCTGATAAAAAAGTTTTTAAGAAAGAATTAATGGATGGTGTGAAATCCTTCAGAGGTGAGTGAGTAAAAGGATAAAGGCAATAATATTTAAGACTTTTCTCTGAGTATATAAATAAACAGAAAATGAGACATTTTATTCAATAAAGTTTTTTAGAATTGTTTTATTTAACTTTACTTATTTATTTATTTTAATTTGACCAGAGAGGGACATAGTGAGAGAGAGAGAGAGAGAGGGAAAGTAAGAAAGAAAGCTGCCAGGTTCAGGATTTGAACCACTATCGGCCATGTGGGAGTGCAGCACCCTCAACTACCACGCCACCTGCCCGTCCCTCAATAAAGATTTAAGTGTCTATTAGGTAGTAGATATTTGAGATTAGTCTAGACTATTTAGAATAGCATATGGAAGACAATGTAATTACCTATAAGTCCCAAGTAATGTTATCTTTTTTATTATAGTTATCACTTCTCTCTTTTCTGTGTATATGTATTGTTAATTAAGCTTCTATTGGGTATTATATGTATCCTACATTTAATCTTAACAGTTTAGCTTAGCATAAGAATTTTATCATGTCACTTAAAAGCCCTTTGTAACTATAACTTTTAATGACTATATTATCTGGCTGTAATATAATTTACTTACTCATTCTTCTTGTGGAATATTTAGGTAGTCTTAATGTTTTGCTCTTTTATGTATTAAAAAAAATTTTTTTAGACATACCAAAATTTAACAGAGTTTATCTGAACAAGAGACAGGCAATTCAAATCAGGCAGTCTCCCAGAAAACGGTTTTCGAGGGACTCCAGCTAGCCCTGTGGTCACAGGGTATATAAATTTGCGGGAAGCCAAAGTGACATATATAGGAAAGGGAAAGTGACATACAAAAAAGCAAAAGCGAGGGAGTAAGGTAGAGAAATCACTGGATTGGTTACAACTGGATGATAAGCTGCATGAGCAGCCTAAAATGTGGGCTTTCTGTGATTGAAGTGTGGCTAGTGTGATTGGTTGTAACTTAGTACCCTGCTCAGGAAAACAGCCAACCACATACAGTTTCGGCTTATCCATAGGAATACAGCAGCTATTTTAGGCCAAAATACTTAGTTCAGCAAATGTGATTATTGTACATAAATCTCGATCTAGCTTTCACGTCATTTTCTTTCTTTCTTTCTTTCTTTCTTTCTTTCTTTCTTTCTTTCTTTCTTTCTTT